GCATCTGCCCCTCCCAAGTCAAATTACTACTAATCTCGACCACCAAAATTCAACATGCCACCACCAAAAGACTTACTGGCCTCTCCCCTTCAAAAGTCTCAATAGTCGAGACTGAGTTTGCTCTTTGTTTGCCATCAACAACCTTTACAAAATCCCCATTGCCACCCAATCTAGGGACAATCTCCAATGTTGGAATCAATCCAAAAACCCAAAAAAAATCAACACAAACACTTAAAAAAAACAATCAAAATTCATCTCCATCAACAATCTCCTTTCAAAACAATACCAAACAAACTTTGATTTCGCCAAAAAATCACAAACCCTAAGGGAAGGGCCGTTGGTGAACGGTGGGTAACCGGGATTGAGGATGATGGGAGTTTTGGAGGGGGGATGTCGACGAAGCAAACGGTGGTCTCGGTGGTGATTTCTGGTGCTTAGATCAACTGAAATTTGGTTGGAAATGCTCGACGACCGCATGAAAACCCTAAAGTGGCGTAAACAATTGAGGAGTGATTGTGGGTGGGGGGATGCCGGTGAGTTGAATGGTGGTGACGGGGTCTATTTTCGGTGTCAAAATTGGTTGAAATTTGGGCTGAGGCGTGTGAACCTTTGATTTGCGGTGCCTGGCGAATGGGGGTTGATCTTTGGTGAGGGTATTTTTGTCTTCACAATGAATATTACTGTATCTAACGAAAATTATAAACAGAAGATAACGTTTGGATAGTAAAGTTGTATTTTAAAACTTGTTGGATTAGAAAGTGTCATTAGGCTGTTAGTTGGGTGGGAAAAAGTCGTTTACTCTTAATTACAAATATTGCCTGCCTGTATCTCACTTGTTTGACCATGAAATATTAATCCAGGGTTCTGTGTTTAAAGGAAACCAGAAGTAAAAACAGAGGTAACTATGGTTATGGTTTATGAACCTTGATGGCCGCCACAGGAGACCTAGAATCTTCAAGCACTGGAATTAATAGCATGTTGGGCTACTTACAGTTAAATTATTTCGGGTGCAAGAACAACAAAATAAAATGATGATGTGGATGATCTGGTGGATATGGAGATGGCGGCAGCTGCAAAAGTCAGCTCCATGGAAAGAAAGCCCCCACCACAAAAAATTCTTTAATTTCCAAATGCACTTTAATCCCATCACCATTTTGTTCCATTTCTTCAATGAACTGATCTAGACAATTGAGATGATATGGGACCCTCAGCTTTCAAGTTGCTTAATTGGTTGGTCTAGTCCTGTTGTTCGTCAAATTCATTCCACGACTGAATCTTTCTCATGAGAACGCTAAACGGGGCTGCCCCACCATAATGCAACTTACTAGTCAGATTCCAGATTGTACTACTGCCCCTGAATATACAAAAACAATACCAGCTGGAGGCCTAGTCACTCTATTTTAGGCATGAATTATAGATCCAGTACTAATTGAGACGAGATTTCAAATGGATTCATTAAGTGCATGTGTAGGCATTTTATATACAAGGGGTGTAGCACTAGCATTAGCATATAAAAAAAGTTAGTAAGGGTTTTCGATGAGTCGGCGGACACGCAAGAATCCCTTATGTTTAGATGTCGACGAAAGCAACTACACACCCAACACTTTTGATTCTTTATCACAATTTTGGCTTCGCTTTCTGTAATTCTTCATACTTTTAATTACATAAGTATCTCCCCATAAACCTTTTTCTTACTTTCACACTCATCACTTTCATCTATTCTAAACTTCAACAAACACCCGGAAACTTTTAACACAGTAAATGAATGATAGTTATTGACAGTCTGCTCACCACGATCACAAAGGATTCTATTGAGAAATTTGGTGTCAATTTCAAAGATCACACGGGGCAATCTTCTCGTTCTATCATCAGTTTGTAACCATGCATTTTGTAGGATACAACTTTTTTCTCTTTTTAAAGCTGAAAATTAAAGAAAACAAAACAGAATTAATTGAAGCTTATATAAGAGTATACCGTATGGCGGAAACAAATTTTGGTAAGGAACACAAGTCAAAAAAGGAAGGGTGGTTGGATTCTTTTGTCCTAATTAATGTAACCAATAAGCTGTCAGAACATTACTTTGTTGAAGAGATCTTTTAGCTAGGATTTTTACAAATGCTCAATGGACATACACGACATTAAGAAATCGCCGACAGACTGAAAACAAGAAGTCAACTGTTAACGGCGAAAAAGATCAGATGGATGAAGCATTTTCATAATCATTAAGGTAAATCAATGAAGGACAAAGACAAAGTTGTTGGTGAATTATGATGATCTATCATAAAGTTAATACACTGCGTTTGAAACAAATGGTCAAGAAAAGGGGCGCCATGTTTTTGAAGAATAATATAAATGTGCACGATGCAATGGCTGAAAATTTCCATGCCTGCAGCTTGACAATGATCTCCATTTAATCCAAATGTTAATTGTACCTAACGGAGGGTGAAAAAGGAAGACAAAGCTCACAAGAAGAGTCGTATTGAAGACTTGAAGTGCATAATTACCGTCATCAATGAACGGTGGCAAGAAGCAATATGAGAAATGTAGCCACCAACCAAATTTGACTTGAGAAATTGCACTGCTAACCACTCTGTGAAAAATGACTTCCATGCATGTGATTGTGCTTAAGCATTCTCAGTTCACGCTTCCGTTTTTGAATCATGATTAAATATGTGTCATTTGATCTTATACAGCACTTAAAAGAAAATTTCGAATCAATAACTGAAAAAATTATTCTCACTTAATAATGTCTAATTAAAACTAAAAAATATGAACCGGTTTTTGTTCATATTTGATCCCTTCTTTAGGTTTGGAATTCAGATTCGCACTTGAAACTAATATTTTCTGTAGTTTTTTGTTTGTGTTTTTTAATCGATAGAAAATAAATAAATAAATTCATCTGCAATCACTTCTCTCAAATGCTTGATAATGGTGTGGATTATATTAGTTTGAAGTAAAATTGATAAATAGTGGAGATCAAAAGGAGATAGAATATGGTTCTAGTTTCTATATATGTATGAGGGTTTCCAAGTGATTTCTTAAACGTGGGATAAGAATCAAGGATTAGATCCATATATAATAGATCATGCTTCCAAATTTACAAAGGATTTGATCATGTTCACTTACATATATTTCTCAAACCATTGAAATTATTATCAAAATCACCACACGAATGGATATGGAACACCGAACACCCCTAATACTTCACCTTAAGATTTTTGCTCTTCTTACAAAATATAATATCCTATTCTATGTGCAGAAACTTAGATTAATTTAAAGCCAATATAAAAGAAATAATATTAGATTTATTTCTTTTCCGTTAAAGCCAAGCTTAGATTTGTTTCTTTTCCGTTAAAGCCAAGCTTAGATTTATTTCTTTTCCGTTAAATAATATTACTATTCTCTATTCATTTTTATTATTATTATTATTATATGAGTAGGAACTAAATTTTTTTTAATGATCGGCTTGTTCGATCATACTTATATATTCTTCAATTAATCTTTTGAGACTTTAAAACTGTCGACTAGATAAAAGTTTTAGTGATTATCCATATTAATACTCGAAGAAGTATTCGAACTCAATAAACTCAAGATTTATTGAGTAATACACCCAAATATCCCTAGTAAGAATTATATTTCATTATGCTCTAATTGATCCATAGCCACTTTATTAATATTTTTAGATAAAAAAATTACTAAAACAAACATAAAATGAAAATGATTAATAGGATTTACAAGATGTTTAGTGTGTGAAACATAAAATGAAATGATTAATGGGATTTACTAAACGTTTTTCATTTTATGTTTCAGACACTAAACATCTAGTAAATCCTATTAATCATATATGTAATATTGATTGAAGAATTCTCAATTTGATTATATAAAAAACAGAAGTTCAAACATTGGTTAGGATTCAAATCTAGGGAATAGATAAACAAGTTGATGGGCTATAGCTACTACTAGGACACGGATATTACAGAAGTTGCACAGATCAATTACTCATTGTGGACCCAAAGAAAGAGAGAGAGAGGAATGACCGAACGAACTTCAATCAAAATTTCATACCAGAGATTGAAACTTTTATATATTTATTTATCAATAAAAGAAAAGAAATTGAAATGATACTCATAAATGTATCGGGTTTCAATTCACACATCAGAAACAATTCTCAGCAGCGGTCTTTATGATAGTGAAGAATCAAAATGATAGATAGAAACAAATGCAAATGCAGAAGATGATAGACAGCTAGGTGAAGGCTATCTTGCCATCAATGTGTTTTCTTTTTGCCCATCAATTTAACAAAGTAAGTGGACACACGAAAGAGACAAACCAAAGTACAGATTGGATCAGAATCAGATAATAGATAGATAGATAGACAGAAAGAAAAATCAAAGTTGGGGTTTTAGAGAGCTTTCAATAAAACGTATTGGATAAACCAATTCCTTCACTCTCTCTCTTATCTTCTCTGCACCTGCTGCAATCAAAAAGAACTGGCAAGAATAACCCTAGCCACGTTCTCTACTGCCATACGTTTTATCAATTCAAGAACCCAATACACAAAATTAAAGTTATGAACCAGAATAACATTTATCTTCACCCACTGCTTCTGCTACAGCCCTCCTAATGAAATTACCAGTTCAGTTTCAAACTTCAAAGAAAAGCGCCTGTTCAAACTTCAAGCCTAGCCAGCCTATTACTATTGCACTATTCTTCATAAATCTAACCACATATCTACCGCCTAATACTCCAGTCAGAGACGTTGATTTTGACGTAAGATCACAGCCATTAAAGATACCTGCCAGCTTTATCAGTTTTCTTTTAACTCAAACATACAAAAAGTCCAAAATATACTGTAATTTGTACTGGATAATTAGCATTAACACCATGAAAATTTGAAATTAAACAAGGGAGTAATTAATCATCTTCACAAACAAAAAAAACTAACCACGAAAATCAACGTAAATCTAAAGTTTGATTGATTCACAGGAAAAGGTAGAAAAAGAAAAAGGAAAAAAAACTCAATAAGGCGGTGGTGGTGGTGGTGGTCTAGCGGTGGGTGCCCATATCACGTCACCACCAGGCAAATGACAACTATACATGGACATACCACATGACTCTCCTCCTGCCACTTGTCCACTCTCAGCCCCTCCGCCACCACCACTTGAACCAACTGGCGATTGCCCTTCACCGCCGCCACCTGAAACCGAAGTCCTTGGCTCATCCTGAACAGGCAGCCGATGATACGATGGATTGTTGAACGTAGCCGCGACCACGAACACGGTCCCAGCCGCTATTAGTTGGCCAACCACGGACCCTCCAACGATCTGTCCTTGTGGACCCGCCAAGGATATCGCGAATATGTTTGGTACCGGAGGACACGAAGCGTTTTGCGGCAAGAATGTCGCCGAGATGGAGAGAATGTCGAATCTTCCGTGAAAGGTTATCGTGGCGCCAGGAGTTGCGGAGGGCTGGCGGAGAGTAACGTTAGCGACGGTTCCAGAGCCGGTGAGGACACAGATTCCAATACTCTTGCGGCGGCAGAAGTTTGAAATAGCTTCAACGACGTCGTTCCCACCAGGGACTTCGAGAATGTAAGGGCTCATGACAGGTTCGGGCTCGCGGGTTATAAAAACAGGGGGTTTGGGCTTATTTTTGGAGCCCGGTGGTCTGCCTCTAGGGCGGCGAACGACTTCAATAGTGGCTCCATCACCGGGCTCATGTTGCTTGAGTTTAGGCGTGGTTGGTGTGGTGGTGGCTGCAGAGTTGTGGCTGTTGGTTTCTTCTTCAGAGGTTTGAGAATCACGTGAAAGTTGAAAGTGATGAGAGAAAGGATGCTGATGCTGTTGCTGTTGCTGTTGCTGAAGGTGTTGATGCTGGTGTTGTTGTTGGTGATGAAGCTTTGCGAACATGTTGGGGGAGTTTGAGGTTTTGGGTTCCACATATTCACCTTTCATGTTTTGGTTTTTGTATAATATTTGTTTGTAAAAAATATTTTTATAATTTAAAATTTGGGGGTTTTGTTATATTTTATTAAAGAGGTGATGTATGTATGTATGAAGGAAGTGATTGGCTGGTAACAAAAGAAAAGAGAAAGAAGAAGGTGGAGATGGGTTGAGTTTGGGGAGAAAGAGCAAGAAGATAGAGAGTAGTCTGTAGATTTGTTTTATAATAAATGAGATAGAGATTGGGAGGTCAAGTTATGAAAAGATTGATGAGAGAGAAGAAGAAGGGTGGTGGTGGGTGAGCTTGGAAACTAAGTAAAGACTAATGGCGCCGCTGGTTGGAGACTTAAAGTGGGGTCCATTAATGAGGGCAGACATGTCAATGTCACTGAATTTGGGGTATTGGTTAGCTCAACCTTACACCGCCTTTGCTTTTTATTTTATTTTTTAATTTTCAAGTTTTTACTGTTTTATGAAAGAGAAAGAGAGTGAGAGACAGATGGGAAGAGTATTTTGGGTAATCTCTATCTCTCTCTCTCTCTCTCTTCCCCGACCGAGTAGATTGATTAAGACTTGTTGATGTTAATGTTTTTGGGTTATGGGGGACGCCCTTTATATGTTCTTCTTTCATATTCATGTATAGGACACCTAGTCTTTTTATTTAAATGATGGCAGCAGAGCAACATCAATATGGCCTCGTTTTTCTTGTATAAATTCAAATCCTCTAGCTCACTTAATTTGACGAGAACCTTCCTTTTCTAATGTTCTTCTATACACGCAGCATGCAAGTTTGGATTATTTTGAATAGGATGACTTTGATAATCATTTTTGCTTAGGATGCACATCTACATTTACCCTATATCTTAAAACTCTTGAGAGAAACTATTACTTTTCCTTATTTTTAACCAAAGTGGACCCTCTACCCTTCTCAAATACACACACACACACACTCTCTAATTTCATTAAGTATCAAGCATAGATAATATCTAAGAGTCTATATTCAATCACTCGATCACCCAAAAATCGAATGACAATTAATGATTTATAACAATTTTCTAGTTTTACTTTAGAAATTTCTCAGGATATCTAACTAATTAAAGATATTTGAACATGCAGTGCTGACAATTGACACAGGTCTCTATTCAAATATTGGACTTCATTTTTCAACAATACAGACTTTCCCTGTTTAGTAAGCTTTCAATGACGTGTGATCAAAATGTCTTAAATAAAGACAAAAAAAAAAAATGACAACTAATGAATAAAAATAACGCCTGGTATTTCTTAGAAGCTTTAATTAAATTTTATTTTCCACCTATATGAATTTCTGTATAAAAGGTCAAAATGTTGTGCAGAAGAGAAAGAGGGTAAAAAAAGAAAGAAAAAGTTGTTGAAACTCTCGAAGTACGCAAACAAAACAAAAGCATTGTGTGTGTGTGTGTGTGTTTATTCAGTGTTTGAAAGGGTGCTTTGGCCATACTCATCTCTATCTCTTGCCAACACACAACTACAAGTGTGCAGTTACGTTGATTGGATTTGACGACAGAAAGGGATTTGATTAGCAAGTTGAGTTGAAGCTGATTGCATATATTCCTGCAGTAACAAGACACATTTTACTAGTCCGCTTAGACTTTTTCTCACTTGACAATTTGGAATCAAATTTTATTAGAATCAACATATTACATCATTTATCACTCAAGTATGATTATAATATATTAGTCAACAATGTATCAATCTAAAATGATTTCATGATATAAAGATATAACAAGTGTTACTGGTAAGCCTTTAACCAATATTTTACACAGCAAAGGCACAAGTTTATAGTAAGACTTGAGAAACAAGTAGAGAATAATATGAGAGGAGATGGGCATTGCCGTATTGGCATGTGTTAAAAGCATAATTGCCATTTTGGGTACTAAAGACAAAAGTTTGACACTTGCAAACCGAAACCGAAAGTGAAGCCGTGTATCTTAAAATGGAAAATTTGGTAAGCTTTGGTGTTTTTTTCGTTGACAAGTCAAATATGAAAACTTCAACGCGACGTTAACTGACTCCTCCCCATGTGAATTAATTAAATAAATAAAGCTATGGAGCCCAAACCAAACAAGAGAATTACGACTACGGATATATGGAAAGTAAATGGTTATAATAGCTATCTTTGGATAGTTGAGTGGTTCGATAGGGACTTTTGGATGTATTTCTTAAGAGGTTTTAAGTTTAAATCTTTCTTTGATTGCTAATGGAATAGTCATTGAGTTCTTACTCGGTCAATAGTTTTAAAGCCTTAAAAGATTAGTTGAGATGTGTGTAAACTGACCCAAAACACTCCGTCTATAAAATGAAGACTTAATGACATTAATCTTAATAGTGAATTCTTATAATTGGCATTTTATGAGTAAAAAATATATGATAAAGAATACAAGAAAAACTGATATTAGGTTCCTAGAAGGTGTGTTGAGTTTATAAAGGTTAAAGTTACAGATGAAGGAATCAAATGGTCTCGTCATTCAGCAAAAAAGCAAAAGCAAGTTAAACTTGTTTGCTTTTTATCTGATTTGGCCACACCATTAAAATAAGTATGGGAGTTACTGTGAATCCCAACCAAGTTGAAGAATCATCATGGGCCATGGCAGACATATTCTTGTGTTAAATCATGAATGGTTGACGCTAATTGGGTTATGGCTTATGTCAGGATACTATGAATGTGATGGTAAAATATAATTAATTAACCAATGGGGTGTTATTACTTGTAAGCTAATCTTTTCATCTAATTCCATTGCCACTTCAATTGCTAAATAAAAAAAGCGGGGGAATAAAGTAACTTCGATTGTTGGAGTAAATTTGGAACCTAATACGTCATTATATATATAATTTCCAAATCAGGTCATGGCCCTTCCATTGGTGGAATGAATCACAGGTTTTAATATAACTTTTTGGGATGAGTGTGAGTTTGATTTGTTTACTTCAACTGATATATCGATATGAATCATGGAGGTATTCAGCGACTTTTGTCCTTCACTCTTAGTAACTATCGTTATCAATCTGGTTAATTATGGTATGTGTACCGACCCCATCTTGTAAGACTCATTTGTGTGTTTCCTTATCATTTGAGATTTATTGATAAATAAATGCCCAGTTGTGTCATTTAGAACTAGATTAGGTTGTTGCCAACAAAACTTTCTAGAGTTTTAGAGTGATATTCTGGGAAGAAACAGCTATCACCAGACTACCACAAATGATAAAACATCAGATAAGAACATAAAAAAAAATATCATTTGAACAGAGAAAGCCACGATACAGAAGCTAAACATGCCAAATGGAAACAGAGAAGTCATACAGAGCCACCCACTGTACAATACTTTTTGTTTTAATGGTAGTGTAAACTTAAAACATTACTCCTCTTACCCAAAAAACACTAAAACATTACTCTTATCCTTGCAGGACCACTGGCTTCCACTTGAGAGGGAAGAGAGTCAATGACTTCTGGTAAATGTCATGTCGAGATCACTTAATGGGTTTCTCAGCTAAATGTTTGCCAACGCGTTTTACAGGAGACACTGTAAGCAGGGTTGTAGGTAAAACACGCCTGTCGTTAGTTCAATTATTCGTCTTCCTCTTCCTCTTCATAAATCCGATTTGAAAATGGGCCACCCTAAAATGTTATGTCAAACAGTAGTTTAACTACTTTATCGATATCTTCTCCACAACACCACCGCTTAGCAGCACATTACCTATTGGCCCGACACTTGGACACAGGTCTAAAAAACTTTTTTATTTTTATTTTGATTAGATCTTTACTTCAACAAATAAGATAATATATTTTAATTAATAAATGATGTCAGTCGGAAAATAAATCTATACTAGTCAATATAACAACCAATACAAGAATTAGTTCCATTTAGCCAAGAGTACATTTCTAAGGTAAATATTTAAACCATACCAAGTAGTCAAGAAAAACTGGCAGCACATAAACAAGATACAAAATGATTGGAAGGGTGGAAATTCTACTGTCATATACGAGCAACATAAGAATTAGCCTGCGTCACATATCTCACCCATCGATATGGATTGTATGTACTGGATTTCTTTGCTATCTGCAAGTATTTCACCTGCATCAAATGATCATATAAAACTGGTTATCCTCAAACCCGCTAAGAGAAGATCAAGATGGTTTTGACTTCAACGCAGAGTAATGTTAACTCCTGTTATGTTGTCAACTGCCATTTAGTTGGTGACAGATAACAGCATAAAGCCCTCTTCCCTCGTAAAGAGAAGAAGATTCTTGTGGACTTGCTACAAGACTTGAACTTTCAAGTGTATATAGATGCTTGTACAGGGTGATAATAAAAACATCATAGTTAATAAAGCCATTAAAAAATTGGCCATTTCTGGTCTAAATGCTCCTGTGAACTAATATTCTCAGAACTAATGACCTCCTACTATCTAGTGTTTGAACACTATAAGCATCAAGGTTCAAAGCTTGACTGAATTGGGCAATTTCTGCCAAGAAGTCAATAAATCCATCACGACGCCAAAATGAATTTCTCAGAAAACAGAAACTACAGTGGAAAATCATAATTGGAAAGGATTCAAAAGAAATTGTTGTTTCCTATCATAATCTGAACTAACATGAGGTTGAACATTACAGATCAAGGCGATGCTTAGGGATGAGAAGCCAGTCGAGCAGTTCATGAGCTACTCGAGCTCGGCTCGCGAAAAGCTCGAACTCGACTCAAAGTCAATCAAGTCGAGCTCGAGCTCGAGTGGCTCGTTTAAGAGGTCGAGCCGGATTCGATCAGGGCGAAGCTCAGCTCAATAGGCTCGCAAGCCTCGTTGCGCTCGGAGGGCCAAATTGCAAGTTTTGTAACTTTTTTTTATTTTCAAGTTTTTAAAATGACAAACAGCCCCCTTCTCACAATAAACTCGAAGCTCAAGCTCGAATGAGCTCGAGTACCCACCCATACTCGCAAGCTCGAGCTCGAGCCCAAGTATTCAAGCTTGAACTCGAACTCGACACTGTACATCATGAACCGAGCTTGAGTGTCCAAATACTCGGCTCGGCTCAGCTCAGCTTGTATACACACCTAGCAATGCTCTAGTCTGATAAACTCCTTTCATATTTAACACAGATTGAAGTTAACAAATTTGAGTTTGTTACCAAAGAGCAGAGTTGCACAGACAACTAGAAAGTTAACATGATGTCTTACCTGAAGCCTTGAAGCATTGTACATTGGGATTGTGAAAGTCATGCTGACGGGTCCAGATTCTTTTGTGATATTTCCTGTATTGAACAAAAAATATAGTAAGAGAAGTAAGTCCTCAAGGGTAAAAAGAGTAACACCTAAAACATGCAAGTGTAGAACTCATCACCCCCAAAAAAAAAAAATAAGAAAAAATTCAAAATTCCAGTAAGAGAGTTTCTAAAAATCAATAGGTAATACCATGTGATTCCTGTGAAAATGTCAACTTTGCACGTAGCATGTGTTCAGATCCACCAACAATCTGTTAAGCATTGTGCCCATAAGTAACTTATATAGTTTAATAATGCATTAATAATTGCAATGAAACGGTGCAACCCCTCAACAATGGACTTATTAAAATTATTGAAAAGCAAATGTGATGCAAGAATTCATAACAAATTATTGCCTTCTTTAAACCCCATTCAAGTCGCTTATTAGCTTCCTTGAAATCTGTTCTCTGCCCAACTGCTCCAGGTTCTAATCCAAAACTCACTCTGTGGAAATTTTGATTCAAAACAGTCAACATGTATACAATTAAACATAAACAAACACAAAACATAATTCATGCAGAAGTGGTGTAATCTATCTGTGTTAACTCATCAAATCGTAGATAATTCTCAGCCATTTCTCATATACAAAAAGATGAGCAACTTTCTCTAAACCTTTTTTTAATATGATAACACATATCAGCTTTCTAGTATTTCATCCATTCAAGCAGAACCAGTGTGTCTATCTATTTAACTGCAGCAGACTATAGCAGAACCTAATGACACTTTGGAGTCTTACCAAATACTCTTACAATTAAGCTTCCATCTGAAAGCAGCAGCCAAAGGCATCAAAGACAAAGAAACAAGACTCTGCTGCCCCGTCTGGATGAAATTCATGGCGGTTTTTCTGTTTATATTAGTAGTTGGATATTTCTACTAGTAAATGATCTAAACTAAGAGACCCTCGCAAAGTATCTTGAGACACTATCTACTGTCAGCATCCAGTAATTTGTATTAGAGTGAGGGACTGATAAAAATATCAGAATCCATATTTAAAACCAGACAGGCATAAGCTGGCAACACAAAGTGGTCAATCAAGAATAATTGCCAATGAGGCTGTTTAGGAAACATATTAGAGACCATAGAAAACAAATTAAATACTTCAGATAAATATAAATCTAATCAATAATTCCAGGATATGCAACAAATCTCATCAGTTTACTTCATCAAATAAGATGTAATGCATGGAATAATAATACCTGGTAGTATATTTTGGAAGAGGCATTTCTACAACAACTGTATTTGCCGTAATGTTGGAAGGGAATTCTGCACTTATTTTAATAATCACTTCAGCCTATACAATCACAAGCATACAGAATGGAGGCACAGGTTAGAAGCTAAATAATAGGAGTGCTGATCAGAACTATAACTTACATTTGTCCAGTAATTTCCAATGATAAAGGCTCATTTATATTAGCATCACCACCCCTTATTTCTGAAAATTCTGAAATGATAGACAATAATCACCTTAAGGGCTCCTGCTTCTTCAATCAACGTGTTAATACGAAAAGGAGGCTTGAACTCCTGGGTCATACGATAGTTCATGACTGGAAATTCACCATCTGGCGGAACCTGACAAAGACAAGCAGGATGAAGCACTAATTTATACAACAGGATATAAACAAATAGTGTCCTTAAATTATAAACAATTTTCAAGATCACAGCATCTTAGTTTCACTCACCAGAGACAGAGTTCTGTCCAGATCAAAACTATCAAGGCGTACAGATTCATGAAAATTACAGTCATCAAGTACCACAGCTCCTGGCCCAGATGAACTCCTATAATCTGTCAAGCAAGCAGTGCCTGGTCAGTTTGGGAAAGGCTTGAAGAGAGAGCATATGGAATTAAATTACTCAGAGCATTTGAAATATATGTATTAAAAAAACTACAAAGGCACCATACACAAAGAAATAAATCTTTCTACAAACTTTAAAAGCATAACTTCAGCAATTTTAAAGTGTCATGTTAGGGAAAAAGTAACCATAAATGCACCAAGAAGGCGTAAAAGCCTGTACCATATATCGATCTCCCATCTTTTCCTATGCTCAGGTCATCATTAAGAGCTAATCGTATTTCCGGGTTTCCAGTAAGATAGCTCTTCATTTGGATGGTGCCATCAATCTCAGAAGTCAGTATATATCCCTGTATAAACATCATTGGATTCATTCAGGTAAGTATTAGTCACAAAGAACAAAGAAAAAATGTAATCATTTAATATAAAGTGATATATACTGAAGCTAATAAAACATATGAACAGAAAATCTTTTGTAGTAAAATATATAAAATTTTAAACGCAATGTGGATACACATTATGGTAGACATCAAGCATGACAGTATTTACATCTTTTGAAATTCAGATATTATGGATATTATAGGGAGTGAAAAAAAATAACATGGTGACAGACGTCACATGTCAGAAAAATATTGTGGCATCATAGGTACATCCCACAAATGTCCTATGAAGCTCATTAACTATAATTAACAGATGAACCAGCAGTGAAATTAAAGAATAATAAGCTAGTCAACATTGCAAGGAAACCAAAATTCAATAGCCATAGAATTGACCAATGACCTCAAATAAAGCAAATGAGCAAAGACATCAAATGACATCAAACCAGACTACAGCCACGTAGGATTCACAAAGCCAACAACAGACAAGTATATGTGCATCGTGATTCGTGCAATTCTAATTAGAATAAATAGTAATCATAAAGGGCCTTTCTTCATCTCTGCAGTAATATATTTTCATGTGAGTAAGGACAACTGAAAGCAAACGGGTTTCAGTTCTTTCCTGTTTTATAGTGATGATCAGTACAGAGGGCATAGCAGGAAGGCATAAAGGTTTCCAGAATGAAAAATCAATATAAAAATAATATGCTTTAGGATCAAGAATAGCAGACTATTATGTTTTTTTTTTTCTGCTCCTATACTCTTTAGGAATGTTGAAAATATTTTAGATTAAACTTTTGTAAATAATTGAGTTGATTTGCCTAAGTTACACCACATATGGAGTAATAACACTAACATAAAAAATAATTACAAAATTGAGCACAATACTCACACTTGAACTAAATGTCACGCTGATTTTTTCAATTATATCCACAAAAATTTCTTCTCTCTTCCTACCACCAGGCTCATTTGCCACAACAGATTTAGTGACAGCTGTTCCTGGCATTCTTTTGGTACCTTGCTGCATTAAAATCCAAATTCTCACAATTAAACAAACAGGATATGTGCAAGTTAACCACGTACTCGAAAAAGTGATTAAATAAATGATATTGTACCATAAAAATCGAAGCAGGCCCAAGAGGTTGTAGGCGTGAAGCATCAATCACAATTGGTTCATTAAACACATAGGATTTCAACAATTCAGTAGAAGTTGTCTGCACATAACCAAAATCCTGGTAGAAAGAGACCGCAGTCAGTCAAGACGCTATAACAATTGATTGATAATCAAACAACAATTTAGCTATCAGGAAAACTTACAATGACTTCGTCAAGCAACTCATATACAAGCACAAAGTTCTTCCGCAGTGAATCTTCATTGAGAACCCCAAGATAATCTTTGATTACACGAGCAATCCTTTGCAGAAGCTCCAACACAAGAGATGGTGAAACATTAACTCTTGTTGTTGCCACAAACAACAATCCAACAACTTTCACATGAAAGTAGTTCACACCGTCCACATTCTATCAATCAAAAACAAAAATCAATTAAAAATAATTAACCACATTGATCCCAAATCAATACACACTGATAATTTTTTTTTTTACTAAAATAATACCTACAAAGACAGGTGGCGCCTCCTCTTGTCCATCTTCTTTCCAGAACTTCACTTTACGAAAAAATATCTCCGCACTTCCTTTCTGCACTTCACCTCGATCTGCAATAACAATTAAAATTGGTAATCAATCAGCTGTTTAGAGCTTGTTTATGTAATAATTGATGCGAAACCCCCATTGTACATTGGGATTGTGAAAGTCATGCTGACGGGTCCAGATTCTTTTGTGATATTTCCTGTATTGAACAAAAAATATAGTAAGAGAAGTAAGTCCTCAAGGGTAAAAAGAGTAACACCTAAAACATGCAAGTGTAGAACTCATCACCCTTAAAAAAAAAAAATAATAAAAAATTCAAAATTCCAGTAAGAGAGTTTCTAAAAATCAATAGGTAATACCATGTGATTCCTGTGAAAATGTCAACTTTGCACGTAGCATGTGTTCAGATCCACCAACAATCTGTTAAGCATTGTGCCCACAAGTAACTTATATATTTGAATAATGCATTAATAATTGCAATGAAACGGTGCAACCCCTCAACAATGGACTTATTAAAATTATTGAAAAGCAAATGTGATGCAAGAATTCATAAGAAATTATTGCCTTCTTTAAACCCCATTCAAGTCGCTTATTAGCTTCCTTGAAATCTGTTCTCTGCCCAACTGCTCCAGGTTCTAATCCAAAACTCACTCTGTGGAAATTTTGATTCAAAACAGTCAACATGTATACAATTAAACATAAACAAACACAAAACATAATTCATGCAGAAGTGGTGTAATCTATCTGTGTTAACTCATCAAATCGTAGATAATTCTCAGCCATTTCTCATATACAAAAAGATGAGCAACTTTCTCTAAACCTTTTTTTAATATGATAACACATATCAGCTTTCTAGTATTTCATCCATTCAAGCAGAACCAGTGTGTCTATCTATTTAACTGCAGCAGACTATAGCAGAACCTAATGACACTTTGCAGTCTTACCAAATACTCTTACAATTAAGCTTCCATCTGAAAGCAGCAGCCAAAGGCATCAAAGACAAAGAAACAAGACTCTGCTGCCCCTTCCGGATGAAATTCATGGCGGTTTTTCTGTTTATATTAGTAGTTGGATATTTCTACTAGTAAATGATCTAAACTAAGAGACCCTCGCAAAGTATCTTGAGACAATATGTCACTATGTACTGTCAGCATCCAGTAATTTGTATTAGAGTGAGGGACTGATAAAAATATCAGAATCCATACTTAAAACCAGACAGGCATAAGCTGGCAACACAAAGTGGTCAATCAAGAATAATTGCCAATGAGGCTGTTTAGGAAACATATTAGAGACCATAGAAAACAAATTAAATACTTCAGATAAATATAAATCTAATCAATAATTCCAGGATACGCAACAAATCTCATCAGTTTACTTCATCAAATAAGATGTAATGCATGGAATAACAATACCTGGTAGTATATTTTGGAAGAGGCATTTCTACAACAACTGTGTTTGCCGTAATGTTGGAAGGGAATTCTGCACTTATTTTAATAATCACTTCAGCCTATACAATCACAAGCATACAGAATGGAGGCACAGGTTAGAAGCTAAATAATAGGAGTGCTGATCAGAACTATAACTTACATTTGTCCAGTAATTTCCAATGATAAAGGCTCATTTATATTAGCATCACCACCCCTTATTTCTGAAAATTCTGAAATGATAGACAATAATCACCTTAAGGGCTCCTGCTTCTTCAATCAACGTGTTAATACGAAAAGGAGGCTTGAACTCCTGGGTCATACGATAGTTCATGACTGGAAATTCACCATCTGGCGGAACCTGACAAAGACAAGCAGGATGAAGCACTAATTTATACAGCAGGATATAAACAAATAGTGTCCTTAAATTATAAACAATTTTCAAGATCACAGCATCTTAGTTTCACTCACCAGAGACAGAGTTCTGTCCAGATCAAAACTATCAAGGCGTACAGATTCATGAAAATTACAGTCATCAAGTACCACAGCTCCTGGCCCAGATGAACTCCTATAATCTGTCAAGCAAACAGTGCCTGGTCAGTTTGGGAAAGGCTTGAAGAGAGAGCATATGGAATTAAATTACTCAGAGCATTTGAAATATATGTATTAAAAAAACTACAAAGGCACCATACACAAAGAAATAAATCTTTCTACAAACTTTAAAAGCATAACTTCAGCAATTTTAAAGTGTCATGTTAGGGAAAAAGTAACCATAAATGCACCAAGAAGGCGTAAAAGCCTGTACCATATATCGATCTCCCATCTTTTCCTATGCTCAGGTCATCATTAAGAGCTAATCGTATTTCCGGGTTTCCAGTAAGATAGCTCTTCATTTGGATGGTGCCATCAATCTCAGAAGTCAGTATATATCCCTGTATAAACATCATTGGATTCATTCAGGGAAGTATTAGTCACAAAGAACAAAGAAAAAATGTAATCATTTAATATAAAGTGATATATACTGAAGCTAATAAAACATATGAACAGAAAATCTTTTGTCGTAAAATATATAAAATTTTAAACGCAATGTGGATACACATTATGGTAAACATCAAGCATGACAGTTTTTACATCTTTTGAAATTCAGATATTATGGATATTATATGGAGTGAAAAAAAATAACATGGTGACAGACGTCACATGTCAGAAAAATATTGTGGCATCATAGGTACATCCCACAAATATCCTATGAAGCTCATTAACTATAATTAACAGATGAACCAGCAGTGAAATTAGAGAATAATAAGCTAGTCAACATTGCAAGGAAACCAAAATTCAATAGCCATAGAATTGACCAATGACCTCAAATAAAGCAAATGAGCAAAGACATCAAATGACATCAAACCAGACTACAGCCACGTAGGATTCACAAAGCCAACAACAGACAAGTATATGTGCATCGTGATTCGTGCAATTCTAATTAGAATAAATAGTAATCATAAAGGGCCTTTCTTCATCTCTGCAGTAATATATTTTCATGTGAGTAAGGACAACTGAAAGCAAACGGGTTTCAGTTCTTTCCTGTTTTATAGTGATGATCAGTACAGAGGGCATAGCAGGAAGGCATAAAGGTTTCCAGAATGAAAAATCAATATAAAAATAATATGCTTTAGGATCAAGAATAGCAGACTATTATGTTTTTTTTTTTCTGCTCCTATACTCTTTAGGAATGTTGAAAATATTTTAGATTAAACTTTTGTAAATAATTGAGTTGATTTGCCTAAGTTACACCACATATGGAGTAATAACACTAACATAAAAAATAATTACAAAATTGAGCACAATACTCACACTTGAACTAAATGTCACGCTGATTTTTTCAATTATATCCACAAAAATTTCTTCTCTCTTCCTACCACCAGGCTCATTTGCCACAACAGATTTAGTGACAGCTGTTCCTGGCATTCTTTTGGTACCTTGCTGCATTAAAATCCAAATTCTCACAATTAAACAAACAGGATATGTGCAAGTTAACCACGTACTCGAAAAAGTGATTAAATAAATGATATTGTACCATAAAAATCGAAGCAGGCCCAAGAGGTTGTAGGCGTGAAGCATCAATCACAATTGGTTCATTAAACACATAGGATTTCAACAATTCAGTAGAAGTTGTCTGCACATAACCAAAATCCTGGTAGAAAGAGACCGCAGTCAGTCAAGACGCTATAACAATTGATTGATAATCAAACAACAATTTAGCTATCAGGAAAACTTACAATGACTTCGTCAAGCAACTCATATACAAGCACAAAGTTCTTCCGCAGTGAATCTTCATTGAGAACCCCAAGATAATCTTTGATTACACGAGCAATCCTTTGCAGAAGCTCCAACACAAGAGATGGTGAAACATTAACTCTTGTTGTTGCCACAAACAACAATCCAACAACTTTCACATGAAAGTAGTTCACACCGTCCACATTCTATCAATCAAAAACAAAAATCAATTAAAAATAATTAACCACATTGATCCCAAATCAATACACACTGATCATTTTTTTAACTAAAATAATACCTACAAAGACAGGTGGCGCCTCCTCTTGTCCATCTTCTTTCCAGAACTTCACTTTACGAAAAAATATCTCCGCACTTCCTTTCTGCACTTCACCTCGATCTGCAATAACAATTAAAATTGGTAATCAATCAGCTGTTTAGAGCTTGTTTATTTAATAATTGATGCGAAATCGTGATAATTTAGTTCAGATCAACGAGCTACAGATGTCGTGAAAATTACGACGTAAATTGGAGACTAGGGAAGAAAAGTAGTGAGATGGAACTCACAGTCACGGAAGACGATGTTATCGCCTCGTTGAGACAGTACGAAGAACTGCGAGATCATTTTTGCTTTGCGAAATTGAACTAAGATCTGATCCCCTTTCTTCACCTGACGTTTCTATTTGGTTGTTCGTATTGTTGTTGTTGGTTAATTTTTTATTTATTTAAATGAGTATGTACAATTTTTGTTAAATGTTTCACCCCTTCAAGTTAGGATAAACTTCAAGTCATACCCCTGTCTTTTGATTGGTCAAGCTTAGCTAACATGATATGCAGGCATAGCATAACACTGTTGTAACTTGCAACTAACTATTTTATAGAGCTATAACAATCCATAGCAAGCTTGGTTTTTTTTTTTTTTTTTTTTTTTTTAACTGAAGGTGTCCAAGCTAGCTTACGCGTACCTTAACTAATCCTCCGAAGCTCTACAACCATCAACCTGATAGAAACTCTAATGACTATCCCTATTAGTGCCTAGAGAAACTCAAACTCAGGAGCTCATGGAACCTCTCTTTGCTCTTTTACCATTAGGTCATCTAGTAGTGGTATTCAGAGCAAGTTGTTGAAACTTAAGAAATAGTTTCTCTTATTTATTTACTGAATATTTAATAATTTGGTTTGTTTGTTAATACTAGGCTATATTCTATTTCATTATTTGATCCATGTATGTATATATAATAGTCAAGTTCATTTAGAAACTGATATCTATTAAGTAAAAGACTGCAAACAATTGGCTAAAATGTGTACGTAGTCATGCAGGCAGGCGTTTAAAGTATATTTGCTCAGTATTGCGGTGACTAAAATTGAAAGCTTCTGCTACAGACCCCTTAAAAAGAGGTGATAAACACTGGAAACCTCTTGGATTAAATAATTATAGTGTATTAATTATATTAATTTACAGTCAGAGATGGTTGCATTTTGTACTTAGTAATTGGTTGCAGAACAATCTTTGTGAATGACAAAGAATGAAACAGTTCAGCACCAAAATGATCGGTCTTTGATGGTGTATCTACCACCTTCTTCATCAATGCTGCTTTCCCTGTAATCAAGTGTCCACTTCTCAAATGTACAATTGAAAAGATCATAGTATCCTCCATGAAGAGATAATAACTCTTTCTTCACTCTGTCTTCTATCCATGGATATGTAAGCAAGTTAAGTAGCGAACGATTGATTGATTCCTGTCACAATTGATAGAAGTTTACTTCAGCTTCCGGGTCAAGATTTACCCACCTTACCTCATTTATTTTCCTACTGATCATAATTTGGCAAAGTTTCTGTTTACATTTATTTCACCATGAAATCTTCTGTTTTAAATTAAATTTCAAACTTTCACATTTTTGAACCCTTCAGAACATCATGGTAATTTTTTCGAACAATTGAATCGTGTATGGTTCATTCCAGTAAAAATTTCAAATGATAGTGCGGGAAGATGTATTTTGGGTACTCTAGAGCATGCATACCTTCTCACAGTACCTGCATTGTTGTTCAAAGCTAAGATGAGCTGCATCAGCTTTTGTTCTCAATTTGGCAACTTTCGCATTAACAACCCATTTTTCAGTTAAGTTACTGAAAACCAGAAATGCAATGAGAAAGTGGAGCAAAAATTACCATTAGGATTTAAGGGAAAAAAAAAAATATCGGTACCCACAAAGATAGATAAGATTCACAACCTTGAGTCATCCTCTTGCATGGTCATGAGCGCTTGAATTCCTCCACAGTCGCTGTGGCCAATGACTAATATTTCCTCAACCTAGCATTAACGATTTTGCATAGTCCACAAAATAAATAAATAAATAAAAATAACACAAGATGCTTCATGTATGTCTGAATTTATAGAAATAAGAAATATGACCCATATTGTACCCAACTGAAGGAAAGCATATAATACAATGCTTCACTGCTTTGCTTGAAACATGGGAATTACAACACGGCATTTAATCTGGCATTCTTTATTTAGATGTCATAACACATAATCTATGGCCTCAATGAAAACAAAAATTTTGTCTGTTGGAAACAGAAGTTCCAATGTTTTCTGCATAACTTACCTCAAGCGTATTTACAGCAAACTGGAGGGCGGCATTAGTTTCTGAAGGTCCAATCTGTGAAAATTATGAAACTTCTGTTATATATGGTTGATGGAATATGCATATTTTTTAACATCTTAACAGTTTGACAACATCGAAGTTTGAATAGCAGGCAGCAGCCATACCTGAATTGGGGGAATAAGATTAGCAACATTTCTAATCATAAAGGTTTCTCCAGGTTGAAATCCAAGGATGTTAGAGGGGCATATCCTAGAGTCTGCACACGCAATCACCATAAACTATTCTCGAACATGTCAATTTAAACAGAACCTCAAAATTACAGTAAAGTAGTGCTCAAACAAGCAGCCAAACTAAAATGAGAGACAAGTTTGTCTATCAATGACAACCTTTGGTGATTGAGCTTGTGCAAGAGTTCGAAAATGCTCCAACTCTTTCCTGTCAAAAGCATAAAGTTATTAATACCATATAGGAGATAAGGAAGTTAATTTCAAAGAGAATATAAACCCACTGAGTCGTGGCGTTGCCTACTCACAAATATTTGTGCTTCTTAAAGCTTAGAAACCTCTGTTCCATCTCTTCAAAAAAGTCTCGCCCAGCAAAAGTTTTGGCCAGGTTTTGCTCTTCATAGCTCGTACCTTCTTGAATGCGTGCTTGGACAGAGGTCACAGAGCTAGAAGCCTCTAGTTTCAAAAATGGGTTTCTCCTAGAAATGGAAGAGCCCATTTTAGACCCACTAAGCATATAACCCATAATATAATCCAAAGAAGAAAGCACACTTCATCATCTTTTGAGCCAGAAGAAAAATTATAGTTGCAGACTCTCATGTTGTGTGAACTATTTATATAAAGACATGAAAGTAACAACAATCTGAAGAAACATTTTGTGTTGAACTGGAAGGCTTTCCATAAGTTAGTAAACAAAGATGTAAAAAAATATTGTTTTGTTTTCAAGAAATTATGAATTATATAACAACCCATTGTGTTTCAGTCCTTTTAAGATAATCTATGGACAAGGCCGAACATTAAAAAGATTCTTCCAAAGCGTTCACTCTGCTTCTAATCTAAGATTTAAACTAAGTGTCAACTGCTAAAAGAAAGATTGGCAACTAATGGAAGTCAACAATATCTCAAATGGCAAGATCCCAGATCTTCCCATTTGCGGATGCCATCATAAAATCTGACTTGGACCACTGAGCCAACCTAACATCAATTATCTACTTAAAGCCCATACCAGAATGCAGTCAGCATTCAGCACTGTCCAACTGGTTCTGTTTTGGAAACTTTCAGAAGAAGCAGAAGCTTCAGAGAGTCTTAGCTACCTAATCTTTAGCCGGTTCTGATCCATGGCAAACAATTATTTGATACGAAATATGTGTCCTTACATTTAGTTTATGCTACAAATCTTTGAGTTTTGACTCTTTTAACTCAATTCTAAGAAATCATGAGTCATTATATTTTATTAAATGGCATAAGCAAAAGAGCTAAAAAAAAAAACAAAAACGGTACGGTGCTGATCGATCATAATGGGAAGAATAAATCTGTGAACTTACTTCAACGAAGGTATTAATCCCAGTTGGTTATCATAAACTTTTGCAAATCTCGTCTGAGAAATCAACATGAAAGAAAAAAATGAGATATGTTGGTACAAATTTACAACGAAACATGGTAAAAAGACTGAGNAGAGCATGCATACCTTCTCACAGTACCTGCATTGTTGTTCAAAGCTAAGATGAGCTGCATCGGCTTTTGTTCTCAATTTGGCAACTTTCGCATTAACAACCCATTTTTCAGTTAAGTTACTGAAAACCAGAAATGCAATGAGAAAGTGGAGCAAAAATTACCATTAGGATTTAAGGGAAAAAAAAAAATATCGGTACCCACAAAGATAGATAAGATTCACAACCTTGAGTCATCCTCTTTCATGGTCATGAGGGCTTGAATTCCTCCACAGTCGCTGTGGCCAATGACTAATATTTCCTCAACCTAGAATTAACGATTTTGCATAGTCCACAAAATAAATAAATAAATAAAAATAACACAAGATGCTTCATGTATGTCTGAATTTATAGAAATAAGAAATATGACCCATATTGTACCCAACTGAAGGAAAGCATATAATACAATGCTTCACTGCTTTGCTTGAAACATGGGAATTACAACACGGCATTTAATCTGGCATTCTTTATTTAGATGTCATAACACATAATCTATGGCCTCAATGAAAACAAAAATTTTGTCTGTTGGAAACAGAAGTTCCAATGTTTTCTGCATAACTTACCTCAAGCGTATTTACAGCAAACTGGAGGGCGGCATTAGTTTCTGAAGGTCCAATCTGTGAAAATTATGAAACTTCTGTTATATATGGTTGATGGAATATGCATATTTTTTAACATCTTAACAGTTTGACAACATCGAAGTTTGAATAGCAGGCAGCAGCCATACCTGAATTGGGGGAATAAGATTAGCAACATTTCTAATCATAAAGGTTTCTCCAGGTTGAAATCCAAGGATGTTAGAGGGGCATATCCTAGAGTCTGCACACGCAATCACCATAAACTATTCTCGAACATGTCAATTTAAACAGAACCTCAAAATTACAGTAAAGTAGTGCTCAAACAAGCAGCCAAACTAAAATGAGAGACAAGTTTGTCTATCAATGACAACCTTTGGTGATTGAGCTTGTGCAAGAGTTCGAAAATGCTCCAACTCTTTCCTGTCAAAAGCATAAAGTTATTAATACCATATAGGAGATAAGGAAGTTAATTTCAAAGAGAATATAAACCCACTGAGTCGTGGCGTTGCCTACTCACAAATATTTGTGCTTCTTAAAGCTTAGAAACCTCTGTTCCATCTCTTCAAAAAAGTCTCGCCCAGCAAAAGTTTTGGCCAGGTTTTGCTCTTCATAGCTCGTACCTTCTTGAATGCGTGCTTGGACAGAGGTCACAGAGCTAGAAGCCTCTAGTTTCAAAAATGGGTTTCTCCTAGAAATGGAAGAGCCCATTTTAGACCCACTAAGCATATAACCCATAATATAATCCAAAGAAGAAAGCACACTTCATCATCTTTTGAGCCAGAAGAAAAATTATAGTTGCAGACTCTCATGTTGTGTGAACTATTTATATAAAGACATGAAAGTAACAACAATCTGAAGAAACATTTTGTGTTGAACTGGAAGGCTTTCCATAAGTTAGTAAACAAAGATGTAAAAAAATATTGTTTTGTTTTCAAGAAATTATGAATTATATAACAACCCATTGTGTTTCAGTCCTTTTAAGATAATCTATGGACAAGGCCGAACATTAAAAAGATTCTTCCAAAGCGTTCACTCTGCTTCTAATCTAAGATTTAAACTAAGTGTCAACTGCTAAAAGAAAGATTGGCAACTAATGGAAGTCAACAATATCTCAAATGGCAAGATCCCAGATCTTCCCATTTGCGGATGCCATCATAAAATCTGACTTGGACCACTGAGCCAACCTAACATCAATTATCTACTTAAAGCCCATACCAGAATGCAGTCAGCATTCAGCACTGTCCAACTGGTTCTGTTTTGGAAACTTTCAGAAGAAGCAGAAGCTTCAGAGAGTCTTAGCTACCTAATCTTTAGCCGGTTCTGATCCATGGCAAACAATTATTTGATACGAAATATGTGTCCTTACATTTAGTTTATGCTACAAATCTTTGAGTTTTGACTCTTTTAACTCAATTCTAAGAAATCATGAGGCATTATATTTTATTAAATGGCATAAGCAAAAGAGCTAAAAAAAAATGTACGGTGCTGATCGATCATAATGGGAAGAATAAATCTGTGAACTTACTTCAACGAAGGTATTAATCCCGGTTGGTTATCATAAACTTTTGCAAATCCCGTCTGAGAAATCAACATGAAAGAAAAAATGAGATATGTTGGTACAAATTTACAACGAAACATGGTAAAAAGACTGAGATGACTCACTGTGTTTAAACCAGAACATGTTCTGGGAAAACCAGTGAAGGAGTTGGTAAGAACAGAGAAGCGTGAGCACTGAAAAGAGTCACCATAGACGGTGGAAGTTCTTAGAGCTGCCATAGATGAAATAACAAAACGAGCTTTATAACCTGAATTGAAATGAACAAAAATCAAAAAGTTGAGATCATTTGCTTTGAACTTGAAAAGTCTAATTGATTATATAATACTTACGGATTGACCACCACACCATTTCTCTTCCCGCCTTTGATTCTGGAAACGTCTTCGAATTAAGTTAAAACTATTGTGAGAATACCGAATATTTTCGTATGTAGGTTACTTAAGGAAATATAATTAACAATTGCGAGACACGAATCCTTATCCAATAGGCCAACACCAATGTTTATCCCATCTTTGTGGGATGTGAATGAACGTTACAGTATTTTCCTTCTTTTCTCGGGTGGCCCACAGGAAAACCCGATAGCTGCTAACGATATTCTTTCCATTCTCATTTCAGTACGTGACAAACTTGATTTAAAGAAGTGGAGTGGCATTGTTTTCATATGGGCCACATTCCAAATTTTTGCAAAGAACTGGAACTGGATCATCGATCTCACAATCTATTTTTTATACTAACAAAAGTCTTAAAAATGTATAACTTTCTATACCATACATTGTAAAACATTACACCAACAAATTTTTATCAAAAATAAGTAAAGATTTAGTCATATGTAATCCATTTTGCCTCAGTTTCTCTAAAAACCTTTTTTTTTTTTTTTATATATATAATTCGGGCTACTATACAACAATCCACAGAGGACTGAAATCAAACGCCGGTGATTAAAAGCTGATCCTCATCATTCTGGTTTAGCAAACCACCAATACGAGCCCGTTTATTTCCCTCGAAGGTCTGGCCCATTCCATAACTGGAGGAGGCCCGATTCTCCACCACATCTTTCAAAGCCCTTCTCAATAATCCCATCTCCTTATCTCCACAACCATCAATCCATTCCACCACAACAACGCTCTTGGTCCTCCCACCAACCGTCATCATCTCAGCCCGGACTGGCCTGGCCCCAACTGATCCAATGGCCTGGGTTAGATCCTGGTTGAGTCCCGGCCTGTCCTCGCAACATATACTCGCTTTTACAACTCTCCCTTCGTTGTGACAAAAATTCAGGCTCAACTCATCCGACTCCCCCGGAAACGGCCAAGCCTCTTTCTCCGATGATCCGCTGCTGCTGCTACTGCATGAGTTCCCATCCTGTCTTGCCACGTCAGCTGCTTGTCTTCTCAGCTCCTTCACGTGGTGCACCACCTCTGCTAACAACGAAGCCTTGTCCGTCTGTTTCCGTTTCAAAAAGTTGAAAAAAAAAAAAAAAAAAAAAGGAGAATTAATGGCCTTGAAAATTTTACAAAAGCGACAGTGATAAAGGAATTGAAAGAGAAGGAGAAGGTTAATACTTTGATGGTGTTGGGAAGGAGAGTACGGAGGGTGGAGAGATGAGCGTTGATACGCTGCCTACGCCTCCTCTCGGCTTCCTTGTGACTCTTGCATGCTTCCGCTTGTTTCTTCTCAACTTTTGACGCTGAACTCATGACTGAATCTTCACAGTGGGTTAATGTTACCCAGTTGGGTACTTGAACGAACCTAGAGTTTTGATTTGACCAGGTTTCGAATCCAGGGTAGCTCTGAATAGGAAACATCTTCTTGTTGAGAGAATTAGAAACAGAAAAACAAGAAAACAAAGTAATGTTATTGGTGACAGTCGTTTAAGGGAAGCAGAGGGAAAAACGAGAGTGTTAGTGAGATAAAGTGAAGATTGTATAGAATGGAGAGAATAGTAACGAAATACTGAGAGCAGAAGTTGAAGTGGAACTATAGTTAGAAAAGGAAGTGAGATGAGACCTGATAGGAGAGGAGAGAGATTGTGATTTTTTAGTTTTTACTGCTGATGAATGTTAAAAAAGGTTAATATCGTTATACGAGGGCGGACAAGGTAAAAAGTTGAGAAACTAGATGGATCTGTGCAAATAAAAACAGAATTATGGTCAAAACTCATTAATTATTATTCTAACATCCTAAATGGAACTCAATTTATATAACAGATCATTTGGTCTACTCAGGGCCACCCCACCCCATTATCACTTCCCTATAATAAGAGCTATTTAATTTGAGAAAATGCGCACTCGCTTAAGTGAGTCGGTCGTCAAGGAATGGTTAATCCTGTAGCTGTAGTGGGGTGAGTCATAACTCACGACTCACGAGTGCTAATTCCCACCATAAATAGTGGTGGTAGAGATGTAGGTGTAGGTGTGAAAAAGCAAAACGTGGCACCATCATTTTCAAAGCATCACACCAAGGCTTTTACAAACTTACGGCGGCGCCATTCCGTTCCCATAGTTTTTTTTTTTTTTTTTTTTTTCAGCAACTCAAAAGTGTCACTAAATTATCATTATCCAAAATAATATTACATTAATAATTCTCTTTTATACATTTTTTTTCATAATTTTAATGTCATAGTTTATAACAAATCTTATATAAATCATATATGAGTTTCATTAATTAATTACGAATTGATCGAATGTAAATTATTATATTTTAATAAATTATAAGAGAAAATTTGTTAAAAAAAAAAGTTTTCATTAAACGACAACTTCTTTTCTCCGTGGCATTTGATCATTATTTCACTTCAGATTCTTTTAGAACTCTGTTAAGTCAGAAACCGTTTCCACATCACATCTGCCACCATTAAAATAACCTTCAACTCCAACTTCGAGATGAGTGAGTTCAAATTTGATTTTCATAAATATTTTTTTATTTTTCGGTTAAGCATATGTGCCAAGAAATGGGACAATGTGAGAGAAAAATTCCGGGGTAGGACAAGGGGCTGGGTTAAATTAGCACGTGAAAGTGTTGCGGTGGGTGGAACCCCCACTCACAGCTACAATGATAATGGAGGGTCTGATTTGGAGCAGAAGGTAGTGATCAACATCTTATGAGCCGACAACATTAGCAAATAAAAATTCTATGGCTAGCTATGACCATGAATATGATGATGACATTTCCTTTGAAGCAATTGGCATGTCTATAGTCATTGCTCCCTTCCCTTCTGTCTCAGTGATTCAGTCCCACGCTTCGCTTCCACCTGGGCCCCTACTTAGTCTCACTGCTTTTTACAAGACAACCTCTGTCACTGTGAGCAGATAGATAGTACTCAGATACATGTCTTGCCATTTCAGATACTCTTTCTGGTGAATTTTTTCAAATTACTCTATTATTTATTTATTTTTATTAATGCCCCACTGTGTTATAGTAGAATATGAGGATTTCTTTTTTATTTTTTGGGGGCTTCGGGGGGGACAAAATGATATTCTTGGATGAAGAATCGAATTAACTTGAAGGAAAAAGAAGGGAAGACTGACTATATGCCTGTATGGCAGTAAATGACTGGGGACGTATTTTCTTCCTCACCTAAACTTGACTAGTACCGTTCACACTTCCAAGTTTTTGAGATTTCGATTCACCAAGTTACGGAGAATAAGTGACAAAATATCTTCAAATACCTCTTTATATTATTAAAACTCTTTATTATAAAGAGTTTTCATAAAAATAAATTAAAGAATAAGTTTGACTCTCCATATCTAAAAAATTAAATTTTACTCTTTATTCTAATTTAAATTAATAAACTACAAGTTTTTATGTATTTTATTTATTAATTCTCTCTCCTATTAAGTCTTTTTCTTGAAAATAAAGAGTATCTTCATTAAATTTAAAGAATTCATTGGATTTGAATAAAAAATTTATTCTTTATATTTAGAAATCAATGAATATATCATTTATTTATGTGAAATATGTTCTTTAAAATAAAGAACACCAAAGGCTCTTTATATGACTTAAACTTTTTATTATAAAGAGTTTATCCATGAAAATAACTTTTTATTTTTTAAATATAAATTAAAGAGTAAGTTTGACTCTCCATATTTAAATAGTCAAATTTCACTCTTTATCTTAATTTTAATTAATAAATTACAAGTTTTTATATATTTTATTTATGATTTATCTTTCCTATTAATTTTTCTTCTTAAAAAAATATATTATCTCTCATAAAATTTAAAGAGTTTATTAGATTTGAATAAAAATTTTATTTTTTATATTTAAAAATCAATGAAGGTGTTGTTCATCTATATAAATTATCTATATAAAAAATGTACTTTAAAATAAAAAACACATTAAAGATTCTCTAAGCAAAGGTGAAAAGACGACTTGACCAAGGATTCAGACAGGAGCAAAATGGAGGTCCTTTAAAGGCATTGCCTCGCAACAGTAAAAGTATTCTAAAAAGCTGCTTCCAATGCACCGTCATTTATGTACATACAACACCTCTTTTAACACTTTCTCTAAATGTTTGGTTCCATTCTAGCTTATGTGAATTCACTTTAATAACTAGTGGAAAGAGCTGGGAATCCAGCTACAGTCGTAACTACGAAAAGACAGAATCCAGGTAGATAAAATCAGTGGTAAACAGTTCATGGTTTAATTGCTGATGATGCAAAAATATCGTTAAATAATATGTTTGACTTGTGGATAACTAAAGGAAAATATAATTAATAAATGGGTTAATCTCATTGAAGAAGGAAAAGATGTTAGGAAAGAGACAAGACACACAGACGTCCATTTTGCTGGAAAATAGGATAATCAGGAAAAAATTGGGACTGCCTGGCCATAAATCTTTATATATTTTAACCTTGTCCAAAACTTTGCAGTATTTCTCCAACTTTACAGTAAATTCACGACGAAGAGAAAGGAAGAAAAGATAAACGCTAAACAGAGATAAAAAAAATCTTGCTGAAGTTGTTAATCTCATCTCATATATTATATAATTACGGCATTGAATTATATTCCATGAGATTTCGTCAACAGCATTGAATGGATACAAGACTCGGCATCAAAATATGATTTTTGAGTAGTAAGAATTTGCTTTGCAACTACAAAGTAAACTAAGTTGGGTTTACTGAAGAGTCGTAGGGTATTTTGTTGGTTTTTGTTGTTGCCTGTTGCATAGTTTTTCCTGAAAAAGGCTCATTCCTGGAAACAAACAGGCCCGAAATGCCACATCATAAATTACGTAGTTGCTCTGTTTATTATATTTATTATTTAAATTCCAAGGATACTAGACCCTAGAGATGTGTCAGAAAATTATGGAGTGTTATGTTGTGGAAAACTATGATAGCCAACCTAAGCGGAACCAATCAACACAATGATCGGCTAAATAATGATCAAGGCCCTCCTTTTACCCACAACACGTACACCACGCAGCTTCTAACATCATCTAAAGGGTTAGTGAAAATTAAACAACAACATAAATGAGAACATAAATATAATGAAGAACGTACAAAAATGAAGAACAAGAACATAAAGGAAAACAAATATTAAACATGTTAAAGAACATAAATTAAAACTAATGAGATCTTTTGCTATCTATAATATTTCAGAGTATACATCACCCTTGAGGTTGAAGAAAACTTAGAAATATGAAGAAACATGGAAGAAGTATAGTAAAGATGTGTAGAGAAAGTAGGAAGTGTAGAGAAAATATGGAAATGAAGAATGACAGAAATAACAAAAGTGTTTTCAAAGTTTACAACCAAGTTCCTTCTGGAGAAACTGAGCTGAATAGCATGAGAGTGCTGATAATGTGCATTAATTCCTGATGGAGCTGATCAATCCGATTTGGAGTGATCAATTTGTTTTGTAGCTGAGAAACAGCATAGTTGGTTCTGGACTGGAGTCCACCTGATGAGCTATTAAATCCAGTTTTTGTTCAAGTTGGTCATGTTTGGTTTGGGTTAGCATTTTCAGTTTGCCAATTGAGAACGGCTTCAACTTGGGAGAGTTTAGGTGTGGATCCATCAGGTTGTATAGCTTTGGAAGGAACAATTCTTGGTTGTTGAGTGGCAGTTTCCTGAAGAGAAGGAAAATCTGTATCATAATTGAAATGTTGTCCTGTCTTTGAGAGCTCAGGGGATTGGATCATCATAACGGACTGAACAGGGGGAGTACGAGCAAGGGGTGAATGAGGTGGTTTATGTCCTTTTGCAATCCACCATAGAGACTGTTGATAACATGATAAAGGTTGTTTGAAGTAAGATGATTTGGCAGGTTTGGATAGTTTTAAAGGTGATTTGGGCTGAGGTTTCGGAGGGATGTCCCATGAGGGATTACAATTAAGTGGAACCAATCAACACAACGATCGGTCTAAATAATGGTCAAAGCCCTCCTTTTATCCCACACACACGTACACCCACGCAGCTTCTAACATCATCTAAAAGGGCTAGTGAAAATTAAACAACAACATAAATGGAGAACATGTACAAAAATGAGGAACAAGAACATAAAGGAAAACATAAATATTAAACATGTTAAAGAACATAAATTAAAACATATATGAGATTTTTTGCTATCTATAACATTTTCAGAGTATTACATCACCCTTGAGGTTGAAGAAAACTTAGAAATATGAAAGGAACATGGAAGAAGTATAGTAAAGATGTGTTGAAATTAGGAAACAGCGTCATGATGACTGTCCCAGCATTCAAAATTGTCTGTGCTGTCTCGATACAAGCATGTTGATATTTGACAAATCTGGTGTCCAATAAAGCAATTCGAACAGAGACTAGAAGTCCTTTTCTGCCATGATAAGAGAGAGCCTCATCTGATCAGCAAACCCATTAAAATCCAAATTTTCCCAGGCTGTTTCACTTTTCATAAAATTCTTGGTTCTGATCTACCTGGCAAAGACATGGTTCTAGGTTTTGATGTTTATTCTAAACTCAGAAATTGGTAATCCTCCGCACACGCAGAAATTGGAATCAGAAGCTGCTATACCTTCAACTGATGAATCATTTGAAAGTGACTTTGACTCTGACAGTGATACTTCTGATCAACATCCTCATGTTTATCCCCAACTGATGATCCATCAACCTGAATCGTCCAGACCACATGTTGTTTCTGAGGTCGATGATGAGATGCCTGAAGGTGATGATTCCATTCCAGACTCTCCGCCTATGTATCGACAATCTCGTCATACTCCGGCTGAACGTGACTCTTATACAGCTTCAGTAAAGCTCCACAGCTCCACACTTTTACCGTCGATGATCTTCCTCCACACAAATAGAGAACTCGAATGTATGAATTTCAAGCCTGATTACAAGCTGAGATGCTGAAACCTAATGCCCAAGTCTCTACTGTACTTACGCAGTTTACAGCTAGATTTGGAGACAACTAAATGACAATTTGACTTTTTATTGTAATATCTCTCGTAACCATTATAAAAAGTCAAGTATTGTAAGCTTTTGTTTTATCAACAATTGTAGACTACTTANTAATTACTGGCATTGAATTATATTCCATGAGATTTTTCGTCAACGGCATTGAAATGGATACAAGACTCGGCATCAAAATATGATTTTTGAAGTAGCAAGAATTTGCTTATGCAACTACAAAGTAAACTAAGTTGGGTTTACTGAAGCAGTGCGGTAGGGTTATTTTGTTGGTTTTTAGTTGTTGCCTGTTTGCATAGTTTTTTCCTGAAAAAGGCTCCAATTCCTTGGAAACAAACAGGCCCGAAATGCCACGTGATAAATTTACGTAGTTGCTCTGTTTTATTATTTATTTATATATTTTAAATTCTTACAAAGATCCAGTAGATTATTTAATCTTTCTAGCCGATGCAATAAAATTTGTTTATTTTCATCTACGACAAGACAAACTATTCATCGTCCTTTTCAAACTATTAAACGACATGTCCTCCTATTTTAAAATTCGCTTCAAAAAGTTCGCCGATCTGTCTCGGAGCCTAGGCATCTCGTTTTTTATGCAACAGTCATTTTTCATGAGTTACGGTTATGGAAATAGAGCAAGAAATATAATCGTAAATAGTATATTTCCTGATATGGAGAAATCCAAGTTAACAACTAAATGAGAAATGGGATTACACAGTTTGTTACAGTAGCATTCTAGCAGAAAAACTTCCACCAGCAAAAATTGTATAGATATGAAAGTAGAAATGCTTTCATACCTAAACACACACTCAAAAGAAAAATATCGCCTCTCAAGTTAGCCAAACCATTGACGTCAAAGGAAAAAAAAGGTTGAAATTGCACAGCATTTCAATATCTACAACTACAAGGGCGTTAAGCAAGGTAAAGTTTACTGGATATTATGATGACACGACGAGAATACTTCCTGCAATCAAATTTATCACAAGCTCACAGAAATTTGTCCATTTTTACTGAATGGAGACCCAGAAGGTGCAATCAGACCGAGACTTTGCATCACTCTCAGTCTCCGCGCACTTAGCTCATGAGATTTCCTCAATATATTTGTTCCCTGAAAGCATAATCAATCAATACCCCAACTCAAATTTCACAGGGGATGAAGGAAGAAAGAAGCAAGCTTCTTGAAGACATTGGAAAAGAATGGTAAGAATACTCACAGAGTTGGGGCTTTCAAGCTTTTGTTTCTTTAGCACCTGGATTTTCTGAGGGGTCCTGTCTTTTGTATCCTTCTTAGCTCTAGACCTATTTGGTTTCACAACATTTCCTGATCATCGGCAATATATGTATTAGTTATAATTTCTCTGTCATTGTATCTAACTATCCTTTCCTGATGATATGAACCAAGGACTACAGGTATACAGTTTATATTTAAGAACACTGAGTCAACAAGAGATGCAAATGATAAATACAGCACTAAGTTGCATTTTTACTAGCATTTAATGACACGAGAATATCAATAGTAACAAATCCCAGCAGAATTTTAAAGAAACAAAAATAGGATAATCAGGTCAATGTGAATCACAACTCTCCTATCTCCAGATGCCCCCAAAATATTTAAGGACCGACCTGAAATTTCACCAGAAAATTACAATTGACAACCTTCTCCTACCCCAACAAGAAGAGAAAAGTAAGGGGCATGTTAAACCAAGAATATATTCCAAAAGATGGTGTCTTCTAAATTTGGCTCTTCACCATGAAACAGTGCCACACCAATCCTTAGAAAATGAACTGTTTCCCATCCCAAGTTCTCATACAAGTTCAAAGCATCAGGAGAATGGAGAGTTGATACATTTCTACCCCGCCCCAACCCTTTCCAACTCTTTTACCACTGAGGCTAAAGCCTAAGGCATGAGCCTTGGGAAACCACGTATTCACCAGCATTGAGATTTTAAAAATCAGGTAAAACAGAAGGGCCATATAAGGATAAAAATTCGGATTGATGTTCAGTTGATTCAGATCATCCCATATACAAAACAAGGAGTAAAAAGAAAGGAAATAACAAGAAATCATGACCTCATGTGAAAAATTGGTAACCTGTAGATTTGGATTGTTTTCCTTTTGATCTACCAGATTTCATGCGAGAACACTCCTGAGCCAATTCCAGATGAGAGAAGGAATGGTACATTTCAGCATCGAGATTATTTGCTACAAAAGTATAGCAAATATGCAATATACTAACAATCTTCTTGATGATATGTAGAATAAAGATAATTACCTGCTCCAAAGCTTTCTCAAATATTTCACGATGAGAACCATTATTCTGTTCAAGTACCTGAGTGTTCAAAGGACAGTACCATAGGATAAGTGTGTTAAACATAAAAATGTCCAGCCAAAAATAGAACAAATGACTACACCTAAATGATGGTCTGAATAATCAACACTTACTATCTGAAACTCCAAGCGGCTTTTAATAAGATCCACATACAAACTGCAAGCAATACACAAGGCACAATATTTTTTACAACTTAACTAGTGGAGAAAACACAAAACAGTTGATCAGAGAAAAAAGTACTGACTACTCATAGGTTCCATAAAGCCTGACTAGAGCAGCTCCCACTGCTTTATCATCAGGTTTATTGCTTTCACTAACAGTGTTCTCATCAACAACCTAGCACATAATTGAGCAGATAGAACAATTGCAGCTCATTTAGAATCATATACAATTTGATTTTACAAAACAATACCACACAAAAACCAGCAGACAGTATTTATGTACCTGTGCAGGCCACCATGAGTTACTCTGGAGCTTTACCCAAATTATATCCCCTAGCATAACCTCCCTTTCCAACTGCATGGCTGCAACTTTCTTTCCAACTCCACCGCTATCATGGCTTGGACCACCAACAACTTGTTTACCACTCATAGCTTATCTTTGACACCTAAATTATCTAGTTCCAAAAGCAATAAATCAAAACATACTTCAGGCATCACTATCTGCCCGCATCAAATTTAAACAACTGAAAAACCAACCCTCAAAAGATTGTTTTGAAAAAAATAACATTTTTTTTTTCTGAAGGTGATGAGCTCTCATTTCACTGAATTGCACTTCTTTTAAGCAGAAACCAAATTCATGATAAGATTATTACATAAATTTTGTCCCTTTCATTTAATATTACGCTTTAGAAAAATGATAATTTACTCTATCTAGTAAATCTATTGCTCTTCTTCTACTGCACAATAATGACAGTTCAAATCTGATCATTTCATGCGCCAGAAAAGAGATGAGACACAGTAGGCTGAATCACTAATATTTCCTATCTAAAGTGAGGACTGAAAATATATAATAAATTAAACTAACCCACATAAAATGGTCAGACTTTTTCTTTTCTAGAAAATAAAACTAAGCAACAAACAAATAGTCCCAGAGCCACAACTGGATTTATATGTGCAAATGAGATACCAATTTATTCTACTTTTGGCCACTACGAAATTGAAAATTTTCCATGGATCATGCTAGCAAAGCAAGATAGTTTCTAAGCTTAGAGCAGGCTTTCGAAGATGAAAATTCGAGTTTCTTCTTTGCTTCCATAACATTTTCTCAACAATTAAGCAGTACAAACATTTCAAGAACCATAAAATTTAAAGGAGAAAAAACTAAAATAAAATGAAAGAAGGATCAGTATAGAGGGTGCTTACAGCTTTGGAACGAAAGAGAGAGCAAAATGCGGGTCCAGCAGAGAAGAGAATAGCTATGACGCCAGACCCAGATGCCTGTAAAGAACTAAAAATGAATACAGAGTGGGAGAAATTAATTTTAATAAATATGAACAAATGGGCAACGCCTTGAACCAAGGAATATCCACCTATCCAAGCTGCAGCAGCTTTTTTTTTTTTTTTTTTTTTAAATTTTGATGGGTTGCTGTGTCAGATAATTCTCTTTTCTTTTATTATAAAAGGAGGATCTTCTGCCTTTTTAACACCCTTCTAATCTTTGTTTGTTGATTCATTATCATTACCGGTCGTACTGTTCAAGTAATCAAGTGTAGGGTCAAAACAGTCAATCCTTTAAATCACAGCTAACGTGCGCCGCAGTGCACAATATCATCTGTTGAGTTCAGTTAGTACTTATAGTAGAGTAAAAATTACTCCGTCAAATATATATTTTCACTCCCCAAAACCCTTTTAGCCCCCACATTTAAACCCTCTCCCTGTCTCTCGATCGAGAATTGCAGGTTAGGGCTTTTCTTGCTTTTTCATTTGTTTTGTTCTTTGGTGATGGAATCTTGAAGAGAAAATAATTTTGATTTTTCTTAGAAGACTCGCTATGATACTAGTTTCTTATTGTGAATTCTAATTGATTTTGATGTTTAATTGAACAAAGTTATATACCCAGTAAATGGATGTATGTTCATTTATTGTTTTGGAAATTAAGTTATTGTTTTTCTTTTTTTAAGCATAATTGGAAGCTTTAGGTGTTTTCATTTCTGCATAAATAAAATTCCAATTCTTCAATTTCATTGATAAATAAGTTCATGGTCTCCGGCGATATTTATGTTCTTGGAAGTCTAATTAGAAAGCTCGCTAGCAGAGCACAATCTTTAAGTGTTTTATATCATTTTTAAGCAAAGATTGGATTCAAAAAGTTCTCATTTACGCGGGCTTTCCTCTAAGCTTGTGCTTTCAACAGGCATGGTAGATCCATGGTGGTCTCTGTTGGGTGCAGCAATACCTGCTGTAATTGTAGGGCAGGCTATGAGGATGAAGAAAAGGAGAGCAGAAGAGCAGAGGCTGAAGAGCGCAAGAGGGCGAGAGAAGAGCTCTGATGATATCTTTGTTTGCGAGAGAGTGTGCACTTCAAAGAGAATGCTAAAGAAGGTTGGTGCACTGTCGAAAGACCCAACAGTTGATACTTGTGTAACTGTTTGTGGTGTTTCTGAGCTTGATGCTTGTGCTGATGCGTGTGCAAGAACTGTTTGTGTTAATCAACACCAAGTCCCCAATTGGAACGATATCTGTCTTAAGAAGTGCCAAAGTGAGTGTCTTAGGTTATCGAATTCCTCTGTTATGTCATCATAAGTTTGCTTATTATTATCTGGCTTGGATTCATAAACAGTTTCTTGTAATATGCAATGCCCTAGTGAATTGATGATACACCTGTTTTTCCCTGGTTCAGATTATTCTTTCTATTTAAATTGCCTTATTGTGGTCAGATGTTGAATATGGATCATGCCATTAATTTTCCAATTTGGTTCTTGACATTTTTTCTTCTTACTTAGGATATTTAAAAGTCTCTTTATGATGATCAAAGTAATTGTTTTTATCTCCTTATTGGTTTCCTCTTTTGTGTCTGGTGCTAATAAATTGTTAGAATATAAGTGATGCCTTTTATTTAGTCTCAGATATAGGAATCAACATCCTACCACTAACCCACTAGCCTAAAAGGGTTCAAATTGTAGGAAGCTAGAGTTGGGAAATGATACTACTATATCCCACTCTATTTTCACTTCCAATCAAAACAATGTGTAGTGGATGTTCTAAGGATTGCCGTCTTCTTCAATGAACTGAACCGGTCAGACATTGCTTGACATTGGATAAGAATTGAGTAGTTTCTGAATGTGTTACATATGCAATAACAGTAATAACTCATCTTGGGCACACATTCATTTTAGATTTATTTGCAGTCTCTCTACAATTCAGTCATTTACATAAATTGGTGTGTGGGTGATTGGGATGAAGCTTTAATGGATAAACTGGAGCTTGTGGACGGCTTGGATCCTAATGGGTGAAACAGGATTCTCCAATAGATCTGAAGTTTGGTGGCTTTGGTATGTGCTTGATCGTGGTGGATTACCAGGGAGGTTAGAGCTTTGCCCAGACCGAAGGGGAGGTGAAGTAGGCTGTAGGCACAGGTGAGATATTTTCTGGTACAAACTTCAAAGATATTTTCTGTTGCAATTGGATTTGCAGGCTAATTTGGTTCCCTGCAGTGCCAATGAGTAGCATTGTTGTGTTTTTACAAAGTAAATGTTTTGCCACATCATCGCAATTTATAATCAGCCTCATCAGTCGTTGCATGGGGACATGTACATCTATGTTGAAGTCTAAGTCCTTAATGCTTCGGGGTACTCTCTATTTGAATTACCCTAGTTTCTAGATTTAATAGTTTCCGTAAAAGGAGGGGGAGGCTTAAAAACAATAAGCAATTACAAATTTACAACTGTTGTAATCTCATAATAAGAGATAAGAATTATTCTGATTTAGGCTCTGGGGCCTGAAGCAAATAGAGATATGATTTCAGTGACATTTTCATAACTTGGGTAATCGCCAAGCAAAACCAAACGACAGCATTGAAACAGGATATCCAACATTATTTTCAAATGCAAGCTAAAGGGAGTATGACAACATATTGGCATATTGCTGAAGATTTATTGCATATACACAATTACGGTAATATTTTGCTTAATGGAGGTAAAGAGCAGAAGTGAGAATGGAGAGGGGAGAGGCCCAGCTTTGCCATTGCCTCATAAATATATCCATGCAGTTTCTTGGCCATTAAAACCTTGTCCATAAGGAAGACGATTATCCGCATAACTCTTATCTTTTCTGAGTATATTTGTAAAGAAATCTACTTGTATTTTCAAATTTTAGGTACTTTGGATCATTTGTTACCAAGGCAAATGAAATGAACTTACATGTCCGTTCATAGTAACTATCTGGAAACTGCAATATGTTCCATTATCAGCTGCTCGTAGTGTTCAATTTCAACATACGTCAATCCAAATATCCAAAAGGTTCAAGACTATATTTAGAAGTCAGTAATAGATGTTCATCAACTTAAGATTACTTATTAACATCTACCAGCTTTGATGTCCATAACTGCAACTTTCTAATCCATTTTGGATAACAAACCAAGAAATTCAAGAGAAGACGAGAAATTTGATATGACCTTTCGTATATCCTGTAATTCAAATGAGCTAAAGACTCCCAATCACACAAACTAGGGAAATATAAGTAGTCTATTGATATGAATTATATTGATAAAAGAGTAACAGATGCAATAACATTCAAAGGAAAATTATTAAGCAAAAAAGAAACATACATATTAGCATTTCGAGGTGCTAGTAGCCTCCCACCAATATTCACTAAGAAAACAACTTAACCCCTTTTCACGATATTTGCTCAATTTATATGCACACTTGATTCCCCACTAATAATTCCACATGGATTATTCCTCTAACTCTCTCTTATTGCCCTTCTGCCCACTAATGCCCCTTCTCCTCTTTGTCCTCAAGGAGAAAAAATGCCCCTTCTCCTCTTTGTCCTCAAGGTGAAAATGAGGAAATTGGATGTTGATCACATCATAGAAGTCAACAGCAATAGATGTTCATCAACTTAACATTACTTAATAAATCTACCAGCTTTGATGTCCATAACTGCAATTTTCTAATCCATTTTTGGATAACAAACCAAGAAATTCAAGAGCAGACGAGAGTTTCCCTTACACACCAAATCTAACCATGTATTGCTCTGCCACTGTTCTGTTTATTACCAATAAATTGTCACCATCTGCAATAGTTGGGAACAGATTATTGCTGATTGTTGGAACAAAAGGCCAACATGCAAAGTAAACGAAAACCTTCATCGGCTAATAGGGAACAGACTATAAAATCACAAACAAAACCAAATAAATCAACATGTTTTTTTAATTTAGTGTATGAGAGATGAAGGATAGACTACTCATTGCTAAGTTAGATATTTATCAAGCAAGAATCACATTGCTGCAACTTACAGTCCAAATAACTGAGCACGATATAACTCAAAATGCATAACAAACATAACTAAAACGCAGTGCAGTTCCAAAGACAATGATCTACCCAAACCTGGACTACAAAAATTCCACCATCCATCAGAATTTTACAATTTAGCCAAATTAAGGTCCCCACAGTTGAAATATAGAAATGCTGGAACCAATGATCAAACACATTTTCAATGAGGATATTTACAGAATAATATGTGCAAAAGCTACTTCCACTATAATAATTCAATTGACCCATCACCAAATGCTTCAAGTGACTTCCACAGAGTACATTCAATCAACAATTTAGAGAAGACACTGAAATCAATCGTTAAAAAGTTGGGTGAAATAACATAGCTGCATATCATTAAGTTTACAACTACTTACAGCTAATTGCAAAAAAAATAAACAAATAAAAAGACAAAACTACAACAAGCAGTACCTAGAAATTTCACAAAACATACGCAGCTGAGCATTCATTCATCATTCTCCACTCCTACCCCTATCATCACATCCACCAAAATCGCTCGCTGAAAATTGCATTGCTTATCATCCTTATAGACATCTTATAACCCGACCTAGCCTCCTGGTTAAAGCTAAATAGGACTCTTCCTTGGCCTTCCTCTTTTCTTAAGCACCACTTGCTGATCATTAATAACTTTAACATTCCCACCCTGAGCCTCAACACCAACACCAACACCAACTCCAACACCACCACCACCACCACCAACACCACCACCAACACCACCACTACCAACCTTGGGTCCCGCTGCCACAACACCACTACCACTACCACCACCACCACCCTGAAACATCGGCGGCATCCAATTAGGAAACCCTGACGTAGATGGAGGTGTCGCCACACCATTTTCCGGATTCGCAGCTGAATACCCCATCGGAAAGAACCCCCAGCAACAATAGTAAGCCTCCTTCCCCGGAACCAACGGAGGCAATTTCGGTATTAAGACTGCATGAAATCCTCTTTGACAATTCTGACATCTTAAACAACAATTCTCATAAACCTTTGGATACTCGTATAATATATAACAGTACGGACACGTTGTCCAGAAAGTTGACAATTTTGATCGCTGCTCCTCCTCCTGCCGATTATGATTATTTTTCTTTGTACTGTTCTGCGACCGGCCTCTTCTCACGGGCAATTTACCTTGGTGGGTGGAATCAGAATTTTTTAAATCGACCTTAGTAAAAAGAATTAGCTCGTGATCGTACGGCGATTTCTTCCGTGTGTCGGATAAAACAGCCCAGGCATCGGCCACGAGCTTGAAGGCTCGATCTGCGAAAGGGTACTTGTTTTTGTCAGGGTGGAGGAGCAGCGCGAGCCTGCGGAACTGTTTCTTGATGAGATCCTGATCGTCAGATCGACGGTCGATTTGTAAGATGGAGTACCAATCGTGATGGTTATTTATGCGTTTGTCCGCAACGAGGAGGACGTCGGCTACGGCTAAGATCTGATCTGAGCCTTCTAACAGAGGTTCGGTTTCTTGGGCGAGGATCGCGAACTCTTTTGACCCGTTAAAATCGCCTTGGCTAAGGAGCTTCTCCGCCACTCCGAGCAAGCGTTCAGCTTCAGCTCTGTTGGAGTTCTGTTCCATTCTTGTTTGATTCTTTTTTCTGGGTGGACTTGAAACGTGTTTGGATGGTAAAAAAATTCTGACGTTAAAAATGAAAATTGGTTTCTTTAAATGGCTATTATTAGTGAGGAAGGGTGTTCACTATAGGTTAATTGAGAAATTACGAAAATTTTAGTCCTTAAAGTTTTGTAGGTTTTTAAAATGATATCATTACTTAATACCTTTAAATTTAATTTTAATTTTTCCAAATCATGAACCAGAGTGAAAATTATAATTAAAATAGTTTGATTATAAGGCTAATGCAAGTCACAAGAATTGATTATGATTAAGCTTATTTGTACATCAACCGTCAATTTTTCTTTTGATTATTCAGTTTTTATATAATATTTATCAAGTTTATGAAGTTATATAAACGTCATTATCTGATAGGTGTTAAAGTAAAAATGATAGTTTTAAGAATTAGAAGACTGCATTTATAAATAATTTCACCAAATTTCATGTATTAAAATTGTTTAGTTTAATCGGTAAAATGTGTGAAATTAAAACTAAAACTTACGACAGCTCCATGTTTTTAGTTTGATTAATTTGCTATTTTGTAAATTAGAGAAATATCATTTTTTTAATAATAAAATATTTATCTGAATATTTATAAAAAAAAGTATTGTCATAGGTAAAAAAAAAATCTTATAACAAAAGATTTTGTATAAAATGATGTCTTAGAAAATAAATAAATAAATAATAAGTTCAATTTTTTGTATTGGGTTTATGTCACGTCCTTTTATATCGAAATATTTATAAGAATCTTTTTTTTTCTTCAGCAATTGGAATGAGAAATGGGGCGTGCCGATATCCTTTCAGCGCAGGAGACGCTCCGCTCGACTCTGGAGATTGACGAGTAGGATAGGAGCAAATCTGTGGGCTGCGACATGGGCCCTCCATTCATTGCTTTATAACAGAAACCAGCCCATTTTGGCCCATGCTGATCCTATCTCAGTTATTGATGTCCAGGCCCTGCGAACTTTGGATGAGGCTCTTCTTTTTCGGTTAAGTAATATACTCTAGCATAGGCCAGATACTTGAGACGTCATGGGCCTCCTTATACAGATATTGGGCCCTCCTTTTCAAAACTTACACACTACCACGTTCCATTGTTTCTAAACAATCAATATGTGAAATATGCATTGAGAGGCTATGGGCCTCCCTAGCACATGTATTGAAATTCCTTTGTTTAGCTTAAATTTTACGCTTTTAAGCCTTTTATGCATCTTTAAAATGTTGGTATATATTTATTTGTCCTTATTTTTTAAAAGTATTTTGATTTATATATATATAGAACATACATATATTATCCTGTTGTGCTCGAAATAAACAGAATCCATGCTTTAAGTCAAGAAAATGTTAAAATATTTGTAAAAGATACATAAATGTCAAAACAATTTTTGAGTAAATGTTACCCTAATATCAAACATTGGAGGGAAATATAATGAGGGGATGTTTGTCTAAGATTAGCTTATAAGCTCTAAAATTAAATTGACATGTTTGTTTATAATTTTTTTTTTTAATTTATAAGTTAAGCTTATAAACTAAAAAAAATAAGTCAAGGGAGAGATACTTTTTTTTTTTTTTTTTATAAGTACTCTGCTTATAAGTTAGTTTGATCAAGTATATTATCATATTATCCTTGTTTAATTTTAAAATTCTATAGTATACCCTTATTTAATGTAATATCTTTTTTAGTTATTTTATAATAAAATGTATTTATAAGCCACATTTTATCAAACACGTCAACTACTTATCAGTTACTTATAAATACTTTAACCAAACACGTAATTGTTTAAAATTTTAAATATTTATAAGCTAAAATTAGCTTATAAATACTTGTTGCTTAAAATTTTAAATGTTTATAATCTAAAATTAGTTTATAAACACGTGTATATTATTGCTTTCTTTATCTTGAAATACATCCATAAAGAAAGGTTGAAATAGAAAGAAAGATAAATGTACTTGACATTTTATTATAATGTGTAATATCATCGAAAAATTAAAATCAGTATAATTTTCTAATGGAGCATAGTACGCGTGCACATTGATGCTGACATCTGGCCTCAGAATAATGGGAATGGTCATCTTGATTACTGCAAGAATCACCTTAAAGTTCACAATTAGTTAATTTATTACAAGCTCCCTAAGCTATCCAGTGGATCGGTTTAAAATTAATTGGTTGACAATAGTTATTTTGACTCGGGCTTTTAAAAAAGGAGCACTAGGCACGTGTAAGCACAATATTTGAGTCGTAATGGTAATTATCATTTATCTAATCTAGTGAGGTGTCCATCCGAAGCTCCTTGGTCTCCTCAAATATAGATTTTGTTTGTAACGTTGTATTACTGTAAATATTAATTAACGCATAGCACCATTTTTCTAGGGCATTTATTTATTTTACGAATGGACATCCTTCCTGAGTAGATGGAATCATACAAGAATTTAAATAATAAAATTAATTACATTAAGCTTTTACATATTATATATTTACAATAACATTAGAAATATAAAGATTTATATGTAAAATGATATGACAGGAAATAAATGTAATAGTTAATATAATAAGTTTGATTTTTTGTATCTCTTGTGACCACATCATTTTGTACAAAACTTATTGTAAAATTTCTTTGTACCTCTAACATTATTCATATATTTAAGATATTATTTGGTTTTTTCTTTTTTTAATTTTTTGAGGGTGGAATATGGGAGCGAGTGAAAAGGGTGAGACAACATTGTAAAAGAAGTTGATAAGTGAAGAACCATGTAATTAATAGAATTGAGATTTAAGGACGACGATGGATTTCACTTGTTTGTTCCCATGGTCATGACCACTAAGGATGCCTGAGCTATCGAAGCAAATAAAATGGTGTTGCATATAAAAAGTTTCTTACATGGAATGTATTTATAACCATTCAAAGATGAGATAAGTATCATAAAGCTCATATTTTCTTCACATAAGAAGGCAAAATGAACCCAAAAAAGGGAGGGACGTGGTCGCTCCCAGTAGTCCCCACCTAGGAGATGTATAACTACTTTCACTTATACGCATGAGATTCTTACATTTCATTATTTTTCTTTCTAGGATTCTATATCATTATGAAATCTACTATGTATATATTGTATTATCGAACTACTTAAAAAAAAAAGTTATCATAAATTATTTTTACTGCTCAGTTAAATAAATATGTATTGAAGTTCCTACATGCTTTATGTAAACTGTGGAAGATCCAGGAATCGGAAGCACGGCCTCTCTCTAATGTGGGTAAAAGTAGAATGTCAATGCTCTGAATCTGCACAATTGGTATTTTTTCAGGACCAGCTGAAACTGGGCCTGAAAAACCTCGAAAACTCTTTTTCTTTTGGCTACATTTTGGTCCATCATATTTTTATGTTCAACTTTTTTTTTTTCTTTTTTCTTTTAACGATAGTTCATATTAATCTTTTTTTTTTTTTACTGTTTAATCCAAGCATTTAATTTAATGTATTGTTTGTAATTAACTAACGCGCTTTTTTCTGGGGCCACAAAATATAAATACAAATAATGAAAAATATTTATTCGTGAATGGATTTTCTTCAATCTCTCGCCAAGTTTTATAATAGTTTTCTGTTGCTCTCTTAAATTTAAGTAAAATGTATTCCTTTAAATATGCTTTGTCAGAATTAAACCAAAAACCAATTCATATCCCACACTTGTCACTAGGATTATCATTATCATTATTGTATCTTTGCTTATACTGCAAAATTTTTAGCTATAATATTCAGGGGCATTTTGCTAAGACCATCCTGCACTATATTAATTGTTGGATTCTGTTGTATTTTCGGTAAATTAATAAAATATTGAAATATAAATAGTTATATTGATTAAGCTTTAAAGTTGGAATTCCAATTTAAAAAGTAGCATTATTTTTATCATATTCGGCCAAGACGCTTAATAATAATATCTTTAAATAACTATTATTGGGTGGTCTAATGGTAAAATATGACTTTTTGGTGTATTACTCAAGAAGTCATTTGTTTAATCTATCTGGATTATTAATAGGTGTAATCACATAGAGGATTTATCCAACTATTAACTTTAGGGACCTAAAAGATTAATTGAGTTATGTGCAAACTAACCCAAACATCTCGATCACAAAAAATAATAATAATAATAATAATATGTTAAATAAAGTGATGACAGCCATCAATACCATCGACAACAACTTTGAGTAACCTCTTCTATATTTTATCCATTTATTTAGAGCAATTCATATTATTTATATTAATTTTTAAAAGAAAATGTAATAAATATTGAGGCAAACAATAGCGTGAAAAATAAAAAAATAAGGCTACTTTCTATTATGCGGAGGAATAATACATCTATTCATCAGAAAGAAATGGATACGAATCTCTTTATTGGTAAATAATATTTTCTGACTGATGTGACGATAGCCTTTAACAAAAACTATACCATATTAAAGCCATTGACGATTCTATTTATAGTCTAGTGCAATCTCTATCACATCAATTCTTAAATTTATGCCTTATGCCAATAATAAATTTTATTTTTACCCTTTTTACGCCTTTTTAAATAAACAAATTATAAAGTCTATTTACCAATGTGTTATAAATCATATGATCGAATATTAAACGACTAATCAATTATTAATTAAACATCTTACATTTCGGTCGTTACAAGTTAATTGATATAAAAACTTAGCACAAATATTCTGGAATATAAATAATGTGTCATACAATATAATATTTTTATTGATGATGTAGAGAATTTCTAATATAAATACATGTCCGCTTTATCAACACGTGTGCATCACTTAATGTAATTGATAATATATTTTGTAATCGACCAGACAAATTTGTGATGTAATTTCAAATTAATTTCACTTTTCTTTTTAAAGTAGAAAAATAATAGACAAAATAATTTTTAAAAAAAGGAAAATTTGATGAATTTCAAGCAATGTTTTAAAACCCAACCCGGGGTGAAATCCGGCAAAGTTTTCGGGTCCCGGGTTGACTGGTTTAACCGATTTAAAACTCAACAAATACAACCCTAAAAATTCCTTCAAGTCCCTACATGTTTGAACTTTCTCAAACAAACCCCAACTGAAAATCGACCGGCTACTGATTGGCAGCGGTGACACCCCAGATGCAACCCAAATCTTTCCCTGAGCCTATTTCCATTTAAATCTACCCAAGATCTGGCCGAAATAGGTTAGATTTCGGCCAGATTTCACCGACACCGGCGTGGGTATACCAAGCTAGATCTCATCCACGCAGAAGCCCACAAACCTCCCCATCACCCAGGAATTACTCCCCTATTCCTCCCGACCAAAACCCACCTCACCCCACCCCCGTTAGCCTAGCCAATCGCCGGAAAAATCTCATTGTTGCTGTTGCCAAGTTTCTTCGATTTCCGGTCGATTTACTCACCGGAAATCAACGACTCGACCACCATTGTATTCAGCGGACCTTAGTCTTCAAAAGCCCTAACCTTCCGGCCGTCGATTGTTCACCGATCATCCTCCCAAATCTTAGGGTTTAGAGGTGAATTGGAAAAGTTAAACCCGACCCATTGAAGTTGTTGGGTCCCGGTTAAACTGGTCGGGCCGGGCCGGGTTTTAAAACAATGATTTCAAGTATACAAAAGTTTGTTCATCAATTACTTTTGGGCGGTCAAACGGTTCGATAGAGATTTTTTTGTGTATTATTCAAGAGGTCTTGAGTTCAAATACCTTTTCGGGTACTAATAGGGGTAGCCAATAGTAACCGAAGCTCTTATCTATTCGATAGTTTTAAGGTTTTGAGAGATTAGTGGAGGTACGCGTAAACTGATACACATCTCTACTCATAAAATAATAATAAAAAAATTGTTCAACTGTTATGCTACTATTTTTAGTTGACTGTTTAGAGCTATACATTAAGTACTTAAATAATGAACTTTAAAAATTAGTATTTTCTCATTTCTATTTATACAAACCCTGAAAACCAATTTATCATTTCATATTCACCAAAAAATAAAGTCATAATAAAGAATTATATATTAATTAATTGAATTTACCAGCTTCAGTATAACTTTAATCTGATTTCATAATTATAAACGAAACATTTGATTGGAACTGAAAACGAAGAGGAAGATAGTCAAAATACAAATAAATATGTAATGGTGACCCATTTATATGATATCTCAATGAATAAACAGTAAAATACTTTTTTTGCACAAAAATAATGACTTAATAACACGTTTCCACCTAAATATTTTTAAAATATTATTTTATTATTTAAATTTATATTTTATTTCTAATTCCAATATTATTAAGACCACATATCATTATTATTCTCTTTTCCGATCATTACTTATCAAAACCTTTTAAACTCTATTCCTATCGATCTTATCAATTGTTGATAATCGACTGATTATGGTTTGTACAATCACTTATTCCAAATTAAATTTTGATTAATTTTAATTATTAAAATCTAATATCCTCTCATTAAAAAATTTATTAGTCTTTTCTTCTCAAATAGTGTAGTGTAGAAATATAAATTTAAAAAATAAAATAATATTTTTTTATTATTTTTTGAATATAAAATTAAATAATAAAATAGGATTTTAAAATTTGCGAGTAAGAAAGCCGTATTAGGGAAAAAACTCATAAATTGAGAGGATTTTAAATCATTAAATGTTTGAGAATAGGAGGTACAAGTCATTATTGCTATTAGATGGTGGCAGCACGGCTATGTATGTACGAAAAGAGATTGTCCACATAAAAGAAACGAAAAAAAAACACTTATTTAAAATTTTAATTAAAAAATTAAGTTCGCGTTGATTTATGTCTCAGTAGTTGTGTCTTAATCAGTTCTATCTCTCTTCGTATATTAACCTGTAGTTATCTTAATTACTTAGTTAAGTATAAATATATATTAAAATAATTTTAAAAAAGATACTGTTTGGCTATAAAAGGGAAGGCAACCTTTCCTTTCTTGAACACACAACTATGTCTCTCTCTCTCTTTAAAATTACTTTCTCCAATTAGTTTAGTGCCTTTTGGTAGCTGTGTGAGATCAGTTCAGACCTAAAACACCACTCGGAGAAGGTAAATAAGAAACAAACCCCCTCTCTCTCCCACACACTAAAATCTTTAATCTGTCATTCTTCTGTAATTGTTTGCATGTTCATGAGTTATGATTGGTGGGTTTTTTTTTCTATTTTATTTTAAAACTTTTTCTGGGTTTCTTAACCTGGATCTAAACCGGGTCTTTAACTAGGGTTTCTGCTAGGATTCTTTCATAAATTGGAAGAAAATCCACTTCATTTTTACCCCTTTTAGTTCCATTTTATATGTATGGTTTCTTACTTTCTTATACTTAGAAAATGTGAAAGTTATGGGTTGATGATTTTTGGAGGGTGAAGAATGGCGAGAGAGAAGATCAAGATCAAGAAGATTGATAACGTAACGGCCAGGCAAGTCACCTTCTCTAAGAGGAGGCGAGGTCTCTTTAAGAAGGCTGAAGAGCTTTCTGTTCTCTGTGACGCCGAGGTTGCTCTCATCATTTTCTCAGCTACTGGCAAGCTCTTTGAATACTGCAGCGCCTCCAGGTATTTTCCAATTCCATTTTTTTTTTTTTTATCTATATTAAAATCCGTACGATAAATCTATAACTTTTCTTCTTCAACTCCACATATTATTTCGGTCCTTCGTCCTCCCGTCTCTGCGTTTATGTGTTTTCGTCTCTTTGTCTTTGTGTTTGTCCGCGCGTGAGAGAGACTCCTTCAAGTTTCCACTCTTTCCGATCACGTTCGATCTCTCAAGCAGCAAGAAATTTTTTTTACAGAAGGGAATAAAGCAACTTCTTTGCTGAAATTCCATGGTCGCTTTAAAAAAAACGTCGTATTTTGGTTAACACTCTCAGACTTGATTAATTCTACGGACTCTTAGAGTTTATTTTAATTAAGAGTGAAAATCGTCACGGCCACTTCCAAGATCTTTGTTATCTCCTCCATTGAATTGCATTTTTAGATTTTCTGGTCAACGGCAGTCTCGCATCAGACCTAAAACTTTGATTTATATGGTTGTTTGTTACAGCGGGTACAGACTTTGGCGGAGTCTCAATCCCGTTGTGACTTTTCTTGAAATATATACAATTTTCATTATATTCTTAACTGACCTATTATTTTGTCATAAAATAACAAAATAAATATCAATATTATAACTTCATCTCTGTATTTGAGCTCAACTATTTTAAATATTCAACGAATTCAACCATACGGTGAATGTACTTACGCCTCTATTTAATTGTTTAATTGGTGTCAAGGTGAGAAATATAAATATACATTAAAACAATTATGTTATATGTCTTAAATTAAATATAAGAAGTAATTATTTCAGTTTATTTTTCAGGTTGTTTTGGCTTAAATACATTCCTTATTACGTATTTATATTTGAATACAACTAACTAATCTAGGATACTGTTATGGTAGTTAAGAAAATAAAAATGGTAATAAATTTCATTGAGTCAATTGTATAAGTATAAAGTAGTTTTCGAAAGGACACAAGTTGAGTGAGGATGCATGGGGATGGGGGATGGTTTAAGGGTTAAATGTAAGTATTGTATATGTATAATTTTACCCCAAACATATTAATAAATACTTAATTGTTTATATTATAATAAGGTTTGAAGTTAAATATATTGTCAATACTTATCATTTCATCAGTAAAATTATAAATAATTTCTGGGTGCATGTTAGGTACAGTAGTTGTTATTGTGTTTGTTTGTGTTGTATAAGAGGCTTTGGAATTGGTTTTCATCCGCTTTTAAGTTCAAGAGTTTGATTTATGTATGAAATGGATACAAGATTACAAGTAATCTGTGTATGTTTGACAGCAACTTTCCAGACCTATAAATTGATGGTTATGAAAATGCTGTTAATTTTTTTTTTTTTTTTTGATAAGAATTGATGGTTATCATTTCATGATTTAAAAATTTGCTAGTACTTAATATCATAAACAGGTTAAATAACGAAATGTAACATATGAAACATCTTACAGATCATTCTTTGGTGATGGTTGTATATTGTATGTTTTGGAGATGGTCTTGTATAGGTTTTTGTTTTCATCCTAACCCAGGTTTGTCGGGTGGTAGGCTGTGCATTGGACTTTTGTTTTTGATCCTCCTAAGGGTTTGTCTTGTAGTAGGCTGACCGCCTTTATAGGTCTCTTTATACATTCTTTTCCTTTTTCTATTTAAAGCTTAATTAACACACCACACCCCCTCCAAAAAAAAAAAAAACCCAGATCAGTCTCATTAAAAAACTGAACAATAATGAATACTGGTTGAAGTATATGTTACAAGTTTTATTTTAATTAGAATTTCTATCTTGATAAGAAAGAAGGATTTTACTATGAAGGGAGAGGAGAGGAGCAAATATCAATATATTCAGTGAATTGAAGTTTTACTTTAACTTTGATATAGTTTTTTCTAATATTTGAACGTTATAGTCTTCATTATAACAAATTATGCTTTCATAATTCAGCGAGACTAGCTGAAGATCAAGATACATTACTTGTTGATATTGAAAGTTATGACTGATGGTTAAGCATCTTATGGCACATTCAGAAGCATTAATATTCAAACTTATGATTAATGTTCATGAATGTGTCATAAGACCGTAAGTTTTTTTTTTTTTTTTTTTTATCAAATTTAAAGCCTTTTGAGTTTTTGAGAATGTTGGTATCATCCTTATCATTCAAGGTTCCACATGAAAAGTCCTCCTGTATTTTTGGGTTTCCATAGTAGCAGACAACCATTTAACTTTCTTGGTTTCAAAGGGTAGCTGATTTGAATAATGACTGTTATCATTTTAATGAACACGATTAAGTTGGTCGGCAAAACTGAGCAGGCCAATATTAGTTTTACTTTTTACTTGAATGTGGCTAATAAAGGATTTAACCAAACTGAAATCAAGCTAGATGTTGGTTTAATTAAGGTGAAAGACTCTGGTTGACATTCTAAATTAAGCTCGATGGTAGTTCATTTAAGGTGAAAGAGTCTAGCTAATTTACCTTCTAATGGGACTTGTTTGTGCAAGGGTTTGAAAATGTTCAGTTGAGTTTTGGGTCGTTTAGCCTGGACTTGTATATAATATTTGTAAGTTTTTTAAGCTTGAACTTGAGTTGATCTGTTGGTCTCATAAGTTGTGTTTGAATATATATATAAAATTCTTCTAAGTGCAAACTTGAGTCAAGTTCTAATAATTATATATATTGAAGATTGATTGTAACCATGTAAAAGTTGTTCAAAATTTATTCTGACCTTACATTAGTCATCAATGAGTCTTATATGCATGAATGTGTTCGATTCTGAACAAGTTGAATTTAACTTTCTTCAATTTAAGCCAATATTTTGTTAGTTTGATTATAAGTATAAACAAGCTTTTGAGAACTTCCATTGCATGTGGCCTTGTGCAGGTAAAATGTTGTGGACTTATGGTAGATTTGAGTTTGGAGTAAATTCTGATATTACTTTTGAAGAATAGGGCTCTATGGCCTCAAACCAGATTCAATGGGAAAGGTCCATTTGTAAGGAAAAATCATGTATATTGACGCCTAATTGTAAAAGATGCTAACATGATTAAGAATGTCTATGATACCTTAGAGGTACTGCTTCATCTATATCACTAACCAATATACTATTGTTAAAACCTTTATGATAAAGATTGACTAGAGAGAATATTTTCATAGGTGGTGTAAATGCATTGGTTGGTTGTATAGATAACTTGGAACCCGAGTGGTATTCTTAATTTTTTTTTTATATGACTATAGTGAACAAGTAGCTTATTATGTTTCATTACAATATCGCATGTTTTTCCTATTTCTTTTTGAGTTACATGTTTATTGAGGTGATAGTTGTGAACATGATCTTGCTTGAGCTGATATAGATGGGGTTTTGAGGAACAATTGTTATGTAAAGATCATATAGTATGCGTATTCTTATAATTAATTTGATATTAATCTTTATTTCTTAGAGCTGCACGTTAAACTTCACCTAAGTCTCCAAACTTATTACTTTGTTGGAAGTATAATTATTGTTGATTGCTATTGAAATACATCAATTCTGAATTCTGCCATGAATTTGGGGATAAATATATACATTTCTAAATTCCGTTGAATGTGATTAACCCTATGACATAAATTATCATATAAACTATTGCCATGTCTTTTTGTTTCCATGGTTAAGTCTCTTGATTGAAATTCATGTCTTAAATTTATAAGTTGGTTGATGAATAAGAAGTTCTTGCCTTGGCCATTTGATGTGAGGTGTAGTGGATAAATAAGAAGTTGTTGCCTTTAGCCAAGTTTTCTCCTTAAGTGGGAGGTGGAGTCACATTTATAGCCTTTCGGTCAATAAATTTGAATAACAGAAGCTCTTCTCTTCGTCAAGTCACGTTGAAAGGATTTGTGGAAATTCTTCTGTAGTCACGTTGAAAGGATTTGTGGAAATTCTTCTGTATTCTATGCAGGCCAAAGTGGTTATATCATATTACGTCCTTTGTTAATTGTTAGTAACAGAATCTCTAAGGCATCTCGACACGTTTTGACTCTAATTTTACAGTTTGTTCAGAATCTCTTAAGGCATCTAACATTATGTTATAAAGTTGCTAAATTAAGGTGAATGAACTTTGTTATTTAAATAAATTGGATATTACTTTTCATCTCTTATAAATTTTCAAATGGCTAGGTTTTCTGGATTTTCACTTAAATTATCAGTCAATATGTCAGTTGAATGGTTGTATTCTGTTATAACTAATTGCAAATGCTTAAATATATGGGGTGGATGATGGATGATTGGATGTAATGACAGATAACAAACATTTCATTTGGTGAATAGATAGTTCAGTTAGATTAAACATCATTATAATTTTATATAGATCATATATATGATGAATAGGGTCTGATGCCTTCCCAGCTGATGGGATCTTTATTCTAGCAATTAATTGAAACTCCACTTGCCATATATTTTACAGTGTAGTTTCAAACAGTTCAATGTGAACTAATCCTTTACATGGCAAATTTTGCTATGAGTACTGACCTGTCTAACATATTTAGTACATACATTTGGTTGTGAAGCATGAAGGACGCAATTTCAAGGCATAATCTGCACTCTAATAACATCGGAAAGCTTGACCAACCAGCGCACGAACTGCAGGTAATTTATTTGATCAGTTTTGTTAGATTATCATAACTATGTACGTTTTTAAGAGGTTCTAAATGACAAATGGAAAATTACATGGCCATGCCATTAGAATTTCTGAGGTGAATTTTCCAAAAGGCTTGCGGTTCACTAATTTAACTTTTTAATTAAGCATGTTTTTAACTAGTCGAGTATTCAAAAACTGCAATGGAAGAGATTTTCAATTCACTTGCATGGGCTAACTTGGCATCACATATATAAATTTCTTTTTTCCAGTAATTGTCAAGTTTTACATATCAGAACTGACTGGCAATTCTATTCTTATGTAGCTGGAAAATAGCAACGACATCAGATTGAGTAAGGAAGTTGCTGATAAGAGCCATGAACTACGGTATATATTTTATTGTATTTATACTGTATTTTTACTTTGGTAAGTTAGCTAAAATTCCCCTTTATTATTAATATTACCTTTTATAATAGACAAATGCAAGGAGAAGATCTTAAAGGATTGAATATAGAGGAATTACAACAACTCGAAAAAATGCTTGAATCAGGACTTGGGCGTGTTCTTGAAACAAAGGTATGTATTTTTTTAATTTTATTGCTAACTAAATATATATATGTACCATGATTCATGCAAGTGTTCACATGAGTTTTATTTTCCCTATCAGAGTGAAAGGATTATGAGCGAGATCTCTTCACTTGAAAGAAAGGTTAGAAGATAAATATTTTCCCTTTTGTTCATGATCTTTCTTACTAATTTAAAGCTAGCAGTCTCTGTTTGTGGTTGAAGCAATAGTGTACTAGAAGGATAACAAACAAGTTTCTTCATAAGGATATATTAATTGAGATCATCTCAAAGTCAGAGAGGAGATATTCATGGAAATACATTATGTTTTTATTGACTTTAAAATTCAATAAATAGATGATATGAAAATAATGTTTATCTATAATACATGAATCAACTAAAATATGTGGACTTCCACTCTTGAGAGTTTTTATCTTTTCATATATATAATGACTTTAATTTTTTGGCATTAAAATTTTCCACAAAAGATCTTTCTATTTATAATATTAGCAATTTTGAAATGTACATGCAGATTTTCAGTTTGCATTATAATTTTAAGGACACAGTCATGAGCTATAGCTTAAGTTCTTTAATTTCCATATAATGGTGTGCAATGCTTTATATATATATATATATATATATATATATCAAGGCTCTTCGGTTGAAGGCCTCTCCAGTTTGCTGTTGATTATTAAGATACCATAAGTCGAGTTCTATCTTGAGTTTTCAACTTGGTACTATTTGCAGGGAGCACAACTATTGGAGGAGAATAGACAGCTAAAACAGAAGGTATAAGAATTCATTTTGGCTGACTGTTATAATAATTTTATTTATTTCATTTTATTTGAAAATGGCGAGGGATCTTTCAAATTTGGAACAGGTGGCCAACTTGTATAAGGGAAAAAGCCTCGTCCTAGCTGATTCAGAAATCGCAATCCAGGAAGAAGGGTTGTCATCAGAATCTGCTACTAATGTTTGCAGCTGCAGCAGCGGCCCGCCTACAGAGGATGACAGTTCTGATACTTCTCTCAAATTAGGGTAAGCTTAATTATCAGTATAGGGTCATGCATATGTAAATGAATCTTATCTCCCAATTCAATAGTTTAAGCTTATCACAATGTTTCTGCATTTTGATAAAAGAGACGAGACTGAGAAAGCGACCTTAATATTGATAGAATAATTAATGCGAAGTCAATATGCAAGGGTACTGCTGGACATTTTTAATTTTCTTTTGATCAATTTGCTGCTTCAACTATTTTGTAGGCTTCCGTTCTCTTGCTGAATTGGGGAGGACGAAGTGGATATCTTCCGATCGTGGCATGTGGCCACATCAAACCTTACATTCTCCCACATGGCCTCATGTCACAATTTGAAAAATATGTATAGGTGATTAATCCGAATAAGGTCATAATATGAGTTATAGCAAGTATTACTTACATAAAAGCTCAATACATGAATAATGACGGTCATATCCTTTTAAATTGAATACTCTTTCGGTTATTACAATGCATGATATTTTATATAAGTATTTTATGAGTTTTTCTAATTTATGAATGAACTTCTTATAAGTTATTTGTGGTCCACTTTAATTTTGACATTTAACTTTATGTACACCAAATATAATAGATAAAATGTGTATGTTAAAATATCCAAATAAGGTTATTGATATAAACATGAAAGCTAATTTATACATTAAATGGACTAATTAGCCTCAAAAGATTCACATGATCTTTAAATGCTTTAATCGGCCATCCTTTGGTCATGGGATTGGTGAGCAGTAATTCCGTATCTTTTGCTCTTTAACATGACCTTTGCCAGAAAAATATTTTATATCTGAATGCTCGTTGTGACTACTATTTTTGTTATTCTCTGAGAAGAAAATGATAGTTATCACAGTAAATCTTTAATAGCCTTGCAATGGGGTTAAAAACTCTTAAATCAGGTATAAAGTTTTTCAACCATAAAACTTGAGATGTAGCCTCAGAGAACGTAATAAATTTTGCTTTTATTGTGGATGTTGCAATTATATTCTCCTTAATGCTTTTTCAAGATATAACACCATTAGCAAGCATAAATATATATATCCAAAAGTAAATTTTTTAGAATCTTTACATTCACTTAAATTAGAGCATGTATACCCAATCACCTCCAAATGATCAGTGTTTGTATGTAAGCATATAAGCCTTGGTTCTTTGCAAATAACTAGACTTGGCAAACGGACGGGTCGGATAGGTACCAATCGGGTAATTACAGGTAATGGGTAAGGGTAAAAAAATTTCACGGGTTTGAAAATGCATGACCTGTACCCACCTGTACGGGTACGGATCGACCTCACGGGCCACTCGCGAAAAACAAAATTATATGAAAGGAGGACAATCTGTTGGTTTTATATTTGCGTGAAAGGTCCATCATTAAGTCAAAGAGCCTGTAATAATTAAGTACTTATTCAGGGGAGAGGTGGCGTGATAGTTTTTAGTCTTCTGAAGTGATTTTTTGGCATGGAATCTAAGGAAGAAGATGGCAGAGATTAGTGCTACTGCTAAAGCTGCTCTTGTGAGAGGGATGAAGTAGGAGGAAAACTCATTTATGACCACGAAAGCCTTGCATTAAATAGTAATGGATGCGTTTGGTTTATTATTTTGGATAAGATTTTGGTGATAGTATTGGATAATTGAATATGGGAGTATTACGAGGTAAAATTTAAAAATTTATGAAAAAACCCCCTAAGTTTGCTAATTTAATAAATACCCCAACATGTAAAATGACAAAAATACCTCCACCACCTGCAGTGCCAGATTCTGGCCACCACCACCGGAATCTGGCGAAAAATCACGTTACGACATAGACCGGTCGGATCTGTGTCGTAACGCGTCGTTGTGACCTTTTCTGGCCAGATCCACCACGGATCTGACCGAAAAAGGCCAGATCTACGGCCTGTCGTGGCCGTTGACGGCCGAAAAAGGCCAAAACGATGGCCATCTTTGGCCGTCAGCGACGGCCAAAGATATGGCCGTCGTTTTTGGTCAACGATGGCCATTTCTTTGGATGACCAAATCTGGCATTTTCCGGCCAGATCCACTGTGGATCTGGCTGGAAAAGGTCAGATCGGTAAATTACCATCTAGTTCCAATCGGTAATTCACCGTTGTGGCAGATTCCGGCTACCATTGACGGTGGCTGCCGGAATCTAGCAAGTATGGGTCATGGGGGTGTTTTTGTTAATTTTTAAACTTTTTTCAGGAGGTATTTAATGAAATTAATAACCTTTTGGGGTCTAAAAGTAATTAAAAAATAGGATAATATTTCTGGAATAATGTGCCAAACATTATTTGGAGAATATGATTGGGAATATGGATAATAATAATAAGCCAAACATGCCCAATATTATTAACCCCACTCCAAGAAATAATTATTACTAAAATTTATGACCTCGTGCCAAGAGTTGATGAAGCTTCTTGAATATTTATCATTTATTTATTTTTTAATAAATGATAAACATTCAAGTTAAACTGAGAGCTGAAGAAAGAGAGGGAGATTGAAAGCTGCATCGTGATCGTGAGAGAGAAGACGAGTTGAGCATGAGAAAGATGAAGAGCTGCATGAGAGAGATTGAGAGCTGGGCGTGAGGGAGATGGAGAGCTGCGGGAGAAAGATTGAGAGCTGAGCGTGAGAGAGATGGAGAGTTGCGTGAGAGAGAGATTGAGAGCTGCTGGTGATGGGCGCTGTTGGCTACGGGAGTGAGAAACGGTTTTAGGTTTAAGTTAAAGTACGGGTACCCGTGGGTATTACCCGACCCACCCGTAATTTTCACAGACGGGCCGGGTACGGGTAATTTTGAAATGGGTAATATTAAGAGATACCCGTACCCGCCCGTTAGATGCGGGTACCCGTTTACCCGCAGGTATGGGCCCTCTTTTGCTAGGTTTACAAATAATGCATAACTTTCTTGGCAGCTTTCCAGTGTTCAAGGCCGTGGTTACTTTGATATCTGTCCAACATTCTTACTACATACCCTATGTCAGGCCTAGTACAATCGTAAGCATACATGAGTTTACCCATGGTTGAAAGCAAAAGGTATTTTATTCATCTCCTTGAACTCGAATGAGTTCTTTGAACATTGTTTCAAATTGAATTTATCTCCTTTAACAATAGAGCTGGCGATGGTGAACAATTTTGCATTCGAAAACTTTCCAAAATCTTTTCGATGTAGGTCTTTTGAGATAAACCTAAAAACATTGTAGATCTATCTCTCTGAATCTCAATGCCAATGACATAAGAGGCTTCACCCATATCCTTCATCTCAAAATTTTGAGAAAGAAATCATTTGGTGTCATGAAGCAGACCTAAATCATTGCTTGCATGTAAAATATCATCTACATATAGAATTAAGAAGATAAACTTGCTCCCACTAGTTTTAACGTAAACACATTAGTCCACAATATTCTCAATGAAACCAAATGAGATGATAACATTATGAAACTTTGTGTACCACTGATGGGATGCTTACTTAAGTCCATAGATGGATCTATTTAACTTGCATACTAGCTTATCCTCATTACAGAAACCTTCAAGCTGTTTCATGTATACATAATGCTATGACAATTCTTAATGAATATTTCTTTGAAAATGGAGAGAGTTTCATTGTAATCGACGCCTTCCTTTTGTGTGAAACCCTTGGCCACCAATCTTGCTTTATATCGTTCGATATTACAAAAAACATCTCTTTTGATCCTAAAGACCCATTTACATCCAATATTTGTTGCTCATAGTGGTAATTTGACGACTGCCCGAACTTGGTTTTTGGCCATTGATTCCATTTCATCTTTCATGGCATTATACCAAAAGAGAGATTTTTCTCCATTCATGGAGTGTGAAAATGAAGTGAGATCTTCATTTAACTAACCATCAAAATTAGTATCTTGATGATATACCATATAATCATTAGAAATAGTTGGTTTCCTTACTCTCAAAGATCTTCTTAATTCAACTGTTTCATCCATATTATCCTGATTTTGGACAACAATATCATTATTAATTGAATCTTTGTGGTGCGACTGACTAGGAATTTGTTCATCTTGAGTCAATTGATCTTCTAAATGATCTGAATGATCATTTTGAAAAATAATCAATTGGTTATCTTAAAAAGATGAACTCGGTTCCTTAATTTCCTCAAACTATACTTTATGAAGAAGGTCACTCCCATTGAATTCAAGATCTTCAAGAAATTTTGGGTTTCTAGCTTCGACAATAGTAGGCGTGTGAGAAGGACAAAAGAATATGAACCATTTGGAATTCATTGGATAACCAATGAAATATCCACTAACAGTTTTTGGGTCCAATTTTTTAGCATTTGGATTATAAACCTTTACTTCTCCAGGACACCCCCAAATGTGTAGATGTTTTAAACTAGGTTTCCAACCAACCCATAATTCAAAAGTAGTTTTTGGAACTGCCTTTGATGGAACCTGATTTAAGACATATATTGTTATATGTAGTGCTTCATTCCAAAACTTTAGTGGAAGATTGGAGGTACTAAACATACTTCTTACCATGTCCTTAAGGGTACAATTTCTTCTTTCCGCCACACCATTTTGTTGTGATGTTCCTAGCATGGTGTATTGTGTAACAATACCCTCTTCTCAAAGAAATTTTGCAAATGGACCTGGCATTTAACCTTTTTCTATTTATCGTCTATAATATTATCCACCCCTATCTGACCTTACAACCTTTATTTTCTTTTCACTTTGTTTCTCTACCTCTGCTTTGAATACCTTAAAAGCATTTATAGCCTCTGATTTATAAAACAAAAGTTAAAGATACATGTATCTAGTATGGTCATCTATGAAAGAGATAAAATATCTCTGTCCATTTAGACTAGGTATAGGAGAGGGTCCCCATAAATTTGTATGTATGATCTCTAATTTATTAGTACTCTTTCTAGCTCCTTTTGTAGCTCTATTAATGCTCTTTCCCTTTATACAACCAATACAAGTATCGAAATCAGTGAAGTTAGGAGTTTGTAAAACTCTATCATCCACCAACCTCTTAACTCTCTGTATAGAGATATGTCTCAGTCTCTTATGCAACAACTTAGAGAAGTCTTCTTTAATGATATAACATTTGTTGTCATTCTCCTCATGCCCAGTCATAAGAGTATGCTCAAATGTAGGATCTAGATCAAACTTATACAAACCATCAAGTAATTTTCCATATTCAACAGTAACATGGTCTTTTAGAATTTCAAAGATTGAATTACTAAAAGTAAATGCATAACCAAGTTTCATGACTATGGATACAGAAACTAAATTTCTAGAAAACGATGGAATATAAAAAGTATTATCAAGATCCAATACATAATTAGAATTTAGAACAAGTCTAAAAGTCCCCACGGCTTCCACTTCAAAACGCATCGGATTGCCTAAATAGATGCTTTGTTCATTCCCCACTGGTTTCCTCAGGTTTAGAAAGCCCTGAATGGTAGTGAAAATGTGAATTGTACAACCCGAATCAATCCACGATGTATCATTA